GTATTTAGTTTTGATTATATATATTTAGCAAACAGAAAGCTGAATGTAAAATTTGATTACAAGGGTGTAAGACCCAGCATTTATTGTTGACTCTCTTACATGGCTATTATCTGTTGGAATTATAATTAGATTCTCATTTTCGAATGTTGTTTGTTAAAAAAAAGTAACATGTTGCGTTTGCATTTCTCCATTGATAAGAGTCTAACATTTTTCCAGAGGATAAAAATCCTCCCATGCATGAGTATGACGAGTTATGAGCCGCTGCTTTAATTGGAAGTGAAGGCAGCTCGATCCAACCTTGTTATGAAAGATTTGTCTGTGCTGTTATGTCATCCCAACAGCACACATGGGAACAGGCACCACCATAAAGCTATGATCCCCTCATTACGGCGTGTTTGAGCTCTTTATCATGCCTGATTATAGCCGTGGAGACAATAAGGTGCAATTCTGACAGATTGTTTTACGACGGGGAGGGTGGTGTGGTCAGGCGCCTCCTGGAGAGAGGCTGAAGTCCTGCGAGTAAGCACCAGGGGTCAAAAGTTCGCCGGTTCATAGAAGGTCACCAAAAATAGTTCCCACACCTCGCAGAGTTCGCTAGGAGGCTATCCCAGGGTCTTGCAGGTGGATTGGTAAAGAAATAGGAAGAATTCTGACATAACAGGAAGTACATGTACGCAGCAATTTGAGTATCTGTCATTAAGTCTTACAGCCATACAGAATAATAAACTGTTTACATTTTCTTTGAGCTGACAGGTTTTGTGCATTACTGAAGATGCAGCCATTTTGCGCTTGACTTCCGCTTGTCAAAAGTTTTGAAAGTACTTCTGACAGAAGTGCAGCAAGGTATATATTTGTAGGTAGTGTTTTTTGTTGGAATAGTACTATTCACAGCGAGAAGTTACATGTAGAATGCCTAGAGGTCATAGAAAGGTCACACACCCCTTTCAACACTTGTGGTATTGTAATATCAGAAGATATGTCATTTCTGTCATATTTTCTACATTGTACACAATGTAACATTACGAAACACCTTTAAGCAAGCTTTAAGTTGATCTTCTAGCTGAATTCTGTGGACGGGGTGTTTGGAAGGTCAGCGAAGCCCAGTACTCAATTTCTGTCCGATCCTACTGTGTAGTTGACTGATCATTTGGAGCTCTGGTCTTTTGAATTGGCAACAGAGATGGATAAGGGTTTGTACCACCAACAAGGGAGTTTTAAAATGTTTTCAAAAGACTGAGATTTCTGCAGCCAGGGTGACTGGGAGGTAAGTTCTGCTAGAAGTGGTCACCCAAGGGTCAGCTGGCAGGATCCAGACCAGGCCGGCCAGTTGTGGTATGGGCAGTTTCATATTTTATGGTCTCAAGCAGGTCTGTTTATTGTTAAGGCATAAATTCTAACTCTGTGCTGTCAAGTGGGGAGACAGTGTTGTCTTTGTTCAATGTGTTCCTCGCTTTCATTGCCTGAGTAATAATGTGAGCACATAAAGTCTGAAAACTTGAAATTTCGCACTTGTATCAATACATTACTTGTAATTTTTTATGTATATCACAAAGTCTTGTATATTTCTGTGTGTCACACGTGTGCGTCTGAGACATTTAGGTCAGGCTCCTTAACTATTGTCTTAAAATTATGACCTGTTTGTGAAGATGGTTCAGGGAAGGGTCACAAGCTGCACTCTACTGTCCACTCTTCAAGTGCAGCAGCCTTACGTCTTGGTATTATACCGGCCAAGCAGATGTTTGGAGAGATCTGTATCATTTTCTTCCAGACAATGGAGGAGCCAAGCCGAGTCACAAGCTGAATCCTTTCTCTAAATGTTTTTTTGCTCTTAGCCTGGGTTCCAGACCCATAGCACACTGGACACAAAATATCTCAGTGAGATACTTTGTGTCCAGTGGAACCCAGGCTATTTTGCTTCGGGATTGAACCAGGAAACCATCCTCTTTCCCTTTCAAGTTTCAAGACAGAGGGGCTAACACCTGTACATTTCTCAATACACCTTGAGTCTATCTATAGCTTATGCAGGGGATGAAATAAGGGATGAGCTTGTGTTATGCAATATATGTGGGGGGTGCGTTGGGTGACTGGGATTGGCTTCTCTGCCTACTAAGCAAAAAAAAGCTCTCCAAGTTACTTATTACTGAGTCATATATCACTAGGATTGCAGTCAAACAGGTGTGGTTTACAGAGAAAATACTTGAGATCAGGCATAAATGTGTCACTTTGTAGCATGTGTCATTTTGCCATGATGTCATTTTATTGGTGTGAGAGAAGGGGTCATTGAAAGGTCACCAGGGCAAAGAATCTAGTGAGTATTTCAAACTAATGACTTCATTCAAAGCAAAAAAAGGCTGTCTTTCTGTCCATTTTGGTGAAATAAAATGTATGATCATAAGAGTTGTTTCCAATTTGACAACATCTTGAACTGAAATCCTTTTAATAGTAGGGGTCAAGTAAAGGTCACCAGGTTGACCAAAATCTGACTTGGATTACATCCCTTATCTCCTGGTGTCTTTAATTGTTTTGTCTTATCTCTGATATTTTCTTAGCACAAATAAAGACCCAGTTTGAGAGCAAATAGTGTGAAAAGCACTCATGATTTTTTTAAGTGTTCCAAAAGCCAAAAGGACACAGTTTTGTTTGAAATGGTGTTTTTGTTTAGGAGGAGATTTTGAAGGTGTTTATCAGAATGTGGGTGTTGAATGGCAGATTTATGTGTTTGGGTTAAAACAAACCACATTGTGTCCATGCCCCATGTAACACAAGGTATTTATCTCCTAACCATTAAAGTCCAGACACACAGGCACACTCTAAATGTCTAGCCCTCTGGCAACACTTAAAGCTGCAGTTTCTATGCCAATTAACTTGCACAAGAGTCACGCAAGGAACAAGGCGAACAAGGGCTTTCTTTCAGAGCGTAAGAGTCACAGCGACTTTTATGGGATGCAGACTTTGGAGATGTCTATTGTTCGAGATTTTTTATGTGCAAGTTATGTTTTACTGCTATAGCTTTGTTATGGGCATTAAAAAGCATCGCAGAACGTCTTCTGTTGTGACAGTAATTTCAGTTGGTTTGGAATGGTTCAAAATAACCATTCATTCACTCATCAAAGGAAACACATAAGATTTACATTGTACCATTGACTTGGACATAAGGTAGCCTGGATACCAGACTGTTTCCAGGTCCTGTACAGACCAGCACCAGGGCATCATGCCCCCAAGGAAATTTTACCACAGTCCTCAGGTGCCAGACTGTTGCCAGGGCCAATATACACGTAACAAGCTAGCTCTTTGGCTTCGGAAATTTCACCTTAGATACCACTCAGTTAGACAACAGTTGAGCAACAGTCTGGCCACTCAATGTCTTACTGAGGAGCTAGTTTGGTTAACTACCCTGAAACAGTCTAGCATGCAGCAGGCTACCTCTGAGTTAGATCCCAGGATCTGGCCTGTGTGGGCCTTGGAAACAGTCTGGCATCCAGGCTAGACCTAAGTAGGATCCCCCTAACCACACCATGCTAAGTTGCAGTCAAACACTACACTCTGAAATGTGAGGTCAGTAAATATGCCAGTTAACCCCCCATGTGCCTTATCTTCAAAGCTAACCCAAAGGTAAGCAATTACCAGGTGATAAGAAGTCTAACTACAATAAGTAAGATGTCCTAGAAGGTAAGAACTCTTGAGTTACGGTCCAAACTTTGAACCGGCTCTCATTTATTTTACCCAAGACAAGCGAGCACGGTAATGGCGAGAAAACCCGGCGATCGATGGCTTTCTGTGCAGCGTTTCTGATGCACGTATCTAAATACCATCTCTGATGCACATGCATATCGTACAGTCTTCACATCATCTGTCATCCGCCGCCGCTGAAATCAGCAGCCAGGCTGGGAATAGATTCCCGCCCATAAAAACCTGTCCAAACCCATAAAACTAAAAGCTTGGCCATACATCAGTACCAGGCCCTGTAGGCTGTTTTCCGAGCTGACTTGTTGTTTGGAAGGCTCTTCCTTATGGTCCTCTTGGTGGTGTTTAGGAGTCCTGAAGAGAGCCAGGCTATTTGGACAGAAAACATGCTGGCTTTGCTGGCACAACAGTTAGGGTACTAAAGTGAGACCATATTGCACTTAGTTTATTTTCAGTCCTGGTTTATGGTGGGAGGGGGGCCAGTTTCTTAGCGTTTTGTGGCTGTTTTTGGTGTAAGATCATCCCTATTAACAGATTGTCTTCCATTCTTGTATCCCTCAAGAAAGCACTTGCCTAATCTTAAGATAAAAGAGCAACATTTTATGATAGAAAGTCCAGATGCCAAAATAAGTTCAGTAACAGGTAGTGTCTCTTGTGAAATTCTAGATTTGAGTTCGTAAATGGCATTCTTGGCTAGAATTGAGTAGTTTTTAAACATCCTACTTAACTAGATTTGAATAGTTCTTAGACGACATTCTTGGATTTGTCAGAGTAGTTGGATCTTGTCTGTAGGTACCTGCAACTTGAAGAAAGGGGAAGACTCCAAAGGTCATGACCCCTGAGGTAATAAAACGTTGTGAGGAGCCAGTCTGCCCGTCTTGTGTTTAGAGAGGAAACATGGTGCATTCCTGAGTTTTTATGTGCCGTTACTGGATATAAAATGTAGCTCATAAAAGTCCAGACCTTCCTGCCACCCAGAAGTTGTGTGTGGGCTAGGGATCAGGTATAATTGTAAAAGTGTCACTTATATTAATAAAGTTCAAGATCTAACCTACTTTTCAAAATCAACAAATATTACACTAAGGTACTCTATTTTCGATAGAGAAAAAGGAAAGGGCAAAAAAGGGCCATGGGAATAGTGCAATTGTTAGAGCTAGGGAAAAACACAAACTGAAATTCAACTGATGACTAAAAACCCTATAACCCTATATGAAAATAAAATCACTGGGAACATTTTAAGGTTTACAGTATATCATGTATGCTTATCATTCTATACGATATTTAGATATGTAACATTTTTGTGTTGTTGTTTTCAGACCAGTCCAGTTCTGAGGAGATGGAGCCCAGTCCTCCGTCCCCCCCTCCCCCTCCCAGAGTCTACAAACCGTGTTTTGTCTGCAGTGACAAGTCGTCTGGCTACCACTACGGAGTCGCCTCGTGCGAGGGGTGTAAGGTTAGTGTGGCTAAAACATTTTTGCAACTTTTTTTCTGGACAGAGTATTAGTGGACAGAGTATAGAGTGAGTATTAAGATAGTGAGTGTGTGTGTGTGTGTGTGTGCGTGTGTGAGAGAGTATGTCCTACCTGACCATGGACTCTACTCTTGTTTATAGAAATTTTCTGATTGAAAGGTAACTCTCACAACCTAACTCAGTGATGGAAAGCTTATTACAATTTGGATATTGGTAATTTGTATATCGTTGGCACATGTATATGTCTTATTGTTTGGAGACGTTGCACAGTTTTGCATCTGTGATCATGGTACAACAGCACCTCCTAGGAGGACAAGGTGGCATTGCAAGGTGGTCTCTCATCCTTGGTACCATATATCACTGAGATTGGCAATGCGCAGAGGAAGAGGGATTTGAATTTTGAATTGGATTTGATGCCTCCTCTATATGGTTTGAGCTTTCCGTTGGCATACAGCATATTTTCTTTCTTTTCGGTTGATGAAATGAATTATGAGCCACCTAGTTCCAGTTGTAACAATTAGTTATGCAAAATGTAGTTGTAGAACAGAAAATAAGAAAAATTTTGGACCATTTTCCCATAAAGATGATGAACCATTTTCCCCGTCATGTTTCCACAGGGTTTCTTTAGGCGGAGTATTCAGAAAAACATGCAGTACGTCTGTCACCGGGATAAGAACTGTGTTATAAACAAAGTCACACGCAACAGATGCCAGTTCTGCAGGTTGAAAAAATGCTTTGACGTTGGCATGTCCAAAGAATGTAAGTATGACAAATGAGAGACCTTCTTTTTCTATTTTGCCAAGCAAATTACATGCTTTTCTTTTATTACTACTAGGTTTGTCTGATGGTTCTGTGTCTGTTAGTTTTCTAACAGACTGAATTTTTATTTTCATAACAGTTATAGATCAATGCCTTCTTAAGTTATTACTTTCCAAAGTCTCAAGGAAAATTGGCCCCTACAGCAAAACAAGCTGCTAGGGGACCATTAACATCATTTGAGTTCCATACAAGTGTATGTCTGACACTTTAAAAAAGTGCATCAGCCCCAGATATGCACGACTGTATTTGACTAGGCACAGAGTTGTAAACAGAAGCTTAATTTTTTCTTTGTCTTTTATTTGTAACTTAGGATACCTACGGGCTAGCAAAGACATCATTTTCAACACATGTATGCAACTTGTTAAAAGTTGAAAGAATGTTGTTTACCTTCCCATCTAGCTGTAAGAAACGACAGAAATAAGAAGCGGAAAGACAAGACACAGTCGCTGGAGAAGCACACGCTATCGTACACCTGGACCCCGGAGATCCAGACCATCATAACCACAGTCAGAGAGGCTCACATGGCCACCCTACCAGACATGGGCAAACTACCCAAATATAAAGTTGTAAGTATAACTTGGCACCGGCAGAATTGTCCATTATATATCATACAGTACAGATCCTGAGTAACTACACATCTGCAAAACGTGATCAAAAGATTTCGATTAAATGCATTCAAAAGCTTGCACTTCTCATTAACTCGTGTTTATTTCATGTGTAAAATGCATGCAGATGTTCGTATAATCGTGTGTATATTGTGCTAATATGTTATCTGTCATTCTGAGTATCTCAATGAATTCAAACTTTCTTCTCCTTTTCCTATAGAAAAATGCAGCAGAACAGAGAGGCCCTACAGATATTGAGCTATGGCAGCACTTCAGTGACCTGTGCACAGAAACCATCATCAAAATAGTCCAGTTTGCCAAAAAGGTTCCCGGCTTCACTACGTTTGGAACGGCCGACCAAATCACGCTCCTAAAAGCTGCATGCCTGGACATACTGGTGAGGCATTTGTACATTGTATTAAAGACTTACAGAAGTATTGTTTTGAGTGGCTGAGTTGTGGGTTTGTGTATCTGTAAGTCATGACAGGGTAGGTTGACATCAAGTGGATGAGGAAAGATTGTCAGAATGACTGCAGGTCAAAAAGTCAGACACAGGAAATGGGGCCAGCGGGAATTAGTGGTCGACATAGGGGTATTCAGGAAGGCAAGGATTGCATACTTTGATGTCTGAAGTTTCCACTTTTTTGTTGTCAATTGTTAAGATATAGAGTGTGGGTAAAGAAACTGCTGACTAAAACTGACGTTAAGTCTGTTTCTTGCTCTACAGATCTTGAGGTTAGCCACGAGACTGGACAAGGAGTCGGACACTGTGACCTTCATCAATGGAATGATGTTGTCAAGGACACAGATGCACAACGCCGGCTTCGGGCCGCTCACAGACGGTGTCTTTACCTTCGCAGAGGGAATGCAGAAACTACTTTTCGACGAGACAGAAATCGGCTTAATGTGTTCAATATGTTTGGTGTGTGGAGGTGAGGATAGTGACAACCATTTTCTGTCATACTTTTTTGAAGAAAGAAACTACATATTTGTTGTGCAGAAAGTAAACAGAATTAAAAGAGCACAACACTCCACCAAGACAGCATAACTCATACCAAGTCTTGTAATGTGCAAAGTACTTTGTATAGCACAAACTCTTGCTGTATGGAGCAGTCACGACACAGTAACAGTTACTGTAAATGCAAAATCTTTCGAGGTGGTTTTATTTCTGCAGTTTTCTATTATGTCCTCATGCCACGAAATCAGAACACTGTGAAGATGTGTGTCTACTGCACTACAGAATTGTTTGAAACATGAACCTCATACACCCCAAAAAATTTCCCTTCCTACCACAAAATAAAATCTCTGCGAAAGCGTCTACATCTACACTGTAGCTTCAGTTATGACGTCCTTTCTCTCCTGCCACTAACAATGCCAAACTTGACCTTCAGACCGGCAGGGTTTGGAGGACATCCAGAGGGCGGAGAACCTGCAGGAGCCGCTGCTGGAGGCGCTGAAGGCCTACTCCAGGAGGAGGATACCCGACGACCCACAACGCTTCCCCAAGATGATCATGAAGATCACAGACCTCAGGAGTATCAGTTCTAAAGGTGGGGATGGGGTGGTTACTAGAGGGGACGGCCCTATGTAGCAATACCATGTTCTGACATAGGGTTAGGGGTGTGGGAACATAGGGGTGTCAAATATAGAACTTACAGGGTGTAGGACATAGGAGTGTAGGAACATAGGGGTGTAGAACATAGGGGTGTAGGAACATAGGGGTGTAGGACATAGGGGTGTAGGACATAGGAGTGTAGGAACATAGGGGTGTAGAACATAGGGGTGTAGGAACATAGGGGTGTAGGACATAGGGGTGTAGGACATAGGGGTGTCTATAACTGTTGCCAAAATTTAGGAATCCTGGTTAACGATACTCATCTATAGGATGGAAAACAGGGGTTACCTCCAAACTTTTCGAGTGACATTCTTCAGCAACACTGAGGTCTATGTGTATACTAATACTACTGATAACTACCAAAACAGATGGACTTTCATTCTAACTTGTTGTTTGTTGTCCAGGTGCGGAGAGAGTTATAACACTGAAGATGGAGCTGTCCAGCCCGATGCCACCACTCATAGCAGAGATCTGGGAGAAGCAAAACGAAGCTCTCAGCTAGACCAGCTTCAACCACCACCAACTGGTTTCAACCAGACAGAACTGCATTCAGCATACTGGTCACAGCTAGCTACAGTCGTGTTGAATCTCTCTGCTTGTTGAAGCAAGTTGGCTTTTAGTGAAATCTATTGACAGAACTGTAGAGATAGTCCAACTACTAGGATATCCTTTCCACATTCTGTGTTTCTGCCCAGAATATTTATATATGGTTAAAGCAAGAACATGGTCGCTAAAGCACTGTGCAGATCCAATAGCAAATTGGTGAAAGTTTGGACGTGTGACTTGTATGACTATAGAAACCCTCTTTCGTGCTGCTTGTGTCCCATGCTTAACGACCCTGTTACTTCGTTAGGGCGTGTCCTCATTAAGATATTTGAAAATTGTGGTTTTGAGTGACGATACAAAGTTTCCCGCCTTTTTCAACCCTCGCCATAGCAGAACCTCAAAACTGTCGCAAAAATCCACCACAAAAAGTGATGAATGAAATCTGCCTTTGCAATTGCTAAAACTTCTTTCAGTGTGTTTCTTGTGCTGTCATGCTGCCCTATGTACCATTTTATCTGTACAAATTTGTTAATATTGGAGATATCTTTTCTAATGTTGCAAAGGAAGGTATAAAACTTATTAGGTCTTTTTTCTCCTTTTTTATGCCCTGAAACAAAGCAAAAACTTTTCCAATGTCATTTTTTCAAATATCACTCAGAAAGACCCATACTCTACACTTGTAATAGTAATAGTATAGTAATCGCCTTCTTTTTTTTTACATTTGCCTTATGTCAAATGCAAGTGTTTGACAAAAGATAAGTAGTGTAATTGTCACTTGGCTTGGGAATAATGTCATGAAATTGTGTCCTATCATAGCTTTCTGTTTGCTTGATTTTAGAGCTACTGCTGTCTACTTCAGTTTTAAAAGAATTGATTTATGTAAATACATATTTTTTTCTTGACATGTTGAGTTTGAGCCACCTCCATAGCTAGATTAAAAACTTTTACGTCACTCCTTTTACATGGTGAAATTCACTCTGAAAGGACCATTTAAACTTGTTTTGAACAAGAACCTGTATACATACAATGTACACCAAAGTCTTTTTCAACTTAGCTATGTGAACACTTTCTATACATGATTTGTATATACTAGATATGTTGTTGCTTATGTTACAATAGGCCACAGACTTGCATATTTTTTTTAAAGATATCCATTTAATGAGTTTATGAGTGCCTTTGGTTAAGGAGGCTTACTGTAAAATGTTTATATTTGGCGATGCTAATTTTCCCAACATAGAGGAATATTTATACAGTTGGAATAGATTTCAGTGATTTTGAAAAAGAAATTGCCAATTTTGCAAAAGAAGATGCCAAATGTCAACATTTTACAGTATTTAGGCTCCCTATTGTATGCAGTGCTTTGTATCACAAAACGTCTTTATTCCCCTTTTCAGAAATGCTTTTTAGAATATGATATAGAAATATATGCATGAGTCATATCTTTAGATAGAATATGACACCCATATTTTGACATAGCAAACAGATACATAAATTGGGGGCGTACTTTATTTCATGAATTGTTGTATTTCAAACCTGACTTTGTATGAAGATAGCACATCTTTTGATGGACTTTTATTGTAGATATATACAACAACTTCCTTCACATTGTATAACTTATAAGGAAATATCTTGTCATATGAAACAAAAAGTAGATTATACACCATCTTTTAAGGGTACATCATTTTGGTTTCTCCAGTTCCAGAAATTTATCATTTTTATTTCTACCCACTTCTTTAAAGAACACTGGTTAGCCCTTCTTTATGGTATATCTCTGAAGCAACAGTACTGACAGGACGTTATGCTTCAGTGTATGAATCTGTGACTTTGTTCATCTGACCAAGAAGGTTTACATCTTAAACCTCCTTGATCTGACAGACTGTGTATCCATAGTTGCAACCTTAGAATGAAAGCTGAAGTACAACACAGGTGGTCTCCCACTTCAGTTTACTTGCGGTCTCCTCCAGGTGTTCCATTACTAACCTCCATCAGGGTATATCATTCAATTCTGTAAGGACAAACCTTGTCCTTCATCTCCAGAAAGGGGTACTTAAAAATGTAGAAGTATGCTTTTGTTTTGGAGTATTAAATCCACTCAACTCAGGAACCTATGCCACAGTTGTGGTGCTTGCAAAACGTACATGCTTACTAAGCTTGATGCACGGATTGAATGATAGCTCAAATCCTGTAATGTTCTTTGATTCCTTCTGCACCAGTGTCACCATAGCAACAGGAATATTTATGTTTCCTAGCAACAAGGTCCCTTAGCAACTTCAACTTTGGGCTTCCATTGTGTTGGGACGAAATGTTAAGTGTTTTGTTGAACCAGACTAGTTAATACGTTGGATAGCAAATACATGTACTGTACTCTACTTTTTACCACATATAGGCAATTTTCTTGCAGATAAAAGTTTAAACACAGTAATCACTTGATGTCACCTGAAGCTATAACAAAGGTGTTGACTGCCATAGTCCAAGAAATGGTTACATTTAAATGCACTCATGACATTTGTGCACTAAATCATGTTTAAGAATTTGAAGGTTTTACTGTTATTACATATCAGCTTCTTTGACAAGTACTTGTTATTTTGCTAAGTTAACTGGTCTGTTAAAGGAGAATGAATTACTAGATTATCGGTACTGATAGTTTTCAAAAGCACAGTAACTCAGGAACATCTCTAAAATACATAGACTAAAAATGAAAAGATTCTGAGGCTTTTAACTTTTCCAGAACAGAGATCTATCTTCAGCCAATCAGGACTCCAGAAGACCTGTCAATCAAGCAGAATTAACCAATCGTAGACGAGCAGTTCTGCTGCAAGTGTTGATGTGTTGGGCCATTGTGTGTGCATTGTGTCATGATTTTGGATGCTAGACTGCCCCTATACACCTTGGCTGGTAGATATATAATGTTAAACATGTATTGTTAGTATACGTTGCACAGTGGTGTAAAGATTTTAACCCACTCTCCAAGTAATTGGATATTTCTCACACAAAAAGCACCATGGATTTTAACATATGTCTGACAATTTCTCTGGGGCCAACCCCAGAAAACGCCCATCGTTTTCTCTACACTGCATCTTAATTGATAGATAGACTGAAGGTTTTGGTCAAAGAACTGTAACACATGCATTGAGGATCATGAAAGATTGTCAAAATTTTCTTTACTTCAAATCTACACAGATATGATTCTAATGCTTTGTCCCTTCCCAGTTTTCAAAGGTAACACAGTTAATTGATTCTAAAGTAAACAATCCTACACAGTCCCCAAATATGTGTAGCACTTAGATAGTTACAGCTTACAGTTTACGCTGATACCAATTGGAATGGGCACAATGACTACGGTACTCTTAAAATTGTGGATAACAGTATATGAATGTGTTAGACTACTACTAGGAGGTCCAAGTACTTTACCAGAGAAATTTCGATTTAGTCTGTCCCCTTTTTCTATCCTGCCATTTAATTGGACCCTTTTTCTTCTGTGATACTTAAATTTACATAAGATAGCAAAGCAGAGGCATTGGGATATTATTGTTATTATTATTGTTATTATATAGGAAAAAAAGTGTACAGTTTTGTAGGACCATACCACTATATGGAGAGGGGAGCTTGTATTTACAGCAAAAAAAAAATGTACATGGTCATATAGCAAGCAAGTCTTTTGCTAACATGCAATAAAATTGTATATATGTCAGTTGTGTGCAGTGTGGTCTGTTTATTTGTTTCTTGCTTTGGGCTACTTGAGTTAATGGACAAAACTTTTGAACAATCCAAAGTAGGTAACCTAATGGTCGGAAGCATTGGCCAATCACTGCTCGCTAACAGCAGGAAATTCAAACTTTTGACCAATCAGTAGTAGGTAAGCCAATGAATGGAAGCATTGGCCAATCACTGCTTGCTGACAGCAATGGAGTTTAGAATACTGAAGAATGTGAAAGGACAGTCCACCTGCATTGCTACAAATTAGTTGATAGTTCACATGGCATAATTGCCAGCTTTAGATGATAATGTATTCTGTTGCTCTTACAGAGTCTGAAACATATTAAACACTGAATCCAGGTCACGGCAAAAATGCTTGCCTTGACAGCACTGAATTACTGTTTGCACCAAAGACAAGGAAACAAAATCAGCACCAAGGACATTTTCGCCTGCCTTACATACGTTAACAAGGCAAAAATGGTTCTAGTTAGAGTTAAACAGTTGTCAAAATGTTTGTTTTTTTCGTCAACCGGAGTTTAACAGCAAGATACAGTCCGTCTTTCCATAGATAGGAAGGATGTTTGTAACAAAGCTGGGAAAACTTTACGATTTACCTTCCAACATCTGCTTGGAGATGAGCATCTACGTACAAATCCGCCAGGCGGCGCTTTTGTGCGCTCTCGCAAATCCCGAGACTTCATCTCCGCGAGACCGGCCACGTAACCACCGCCATATTGAAACAGTCGTGGATCGTCTGTCGTTCCTCCCACCCCTTCAGATTTTGTAGTTTTCTACAACATGGGAGGCTCACAGAGCGCAGAGATACCAGGGGGAGGTACAGAAGGCTACCACGTCCTTAGGGTGAGTACAGTACCCGGCCTGGCGACCTGGAAGCCGATATAACTATTGAAACGTCGGCTGCAAAAGTGTGGGGAGGGGGGCACCTGAACTTCGCTAACAGCAACTTGACATAAAATTAGCTCATAATTTCAGTCATCACTTTTGGTGACTGTACCTTATCTTTAGAACGAATTGTGTTGACAGCATTCAGCGATAGGAAATAGTCCAGTCTTAAACATGTGCTCGCAGAATACTGACAGAAAATAAATTATATCTGACGTGGCAAATTTATTTCTGTGAACATTTTTTGACAGGTGTTAGGTATAAACTTTGATACCATGGTTACTAAAAATGGCAAATCCATGACTTGAACTAAAGAATTCCATGGTATTCGGTGTTGAATATGGTCTATGATAAGCTACCAAGTAACGCATGAATGGCGTAGTGATGAGTAACAAATATATATCTGTGAGCCTGGAGGTTGAGTTTGAATACCCAACTTGCATCCTACTAGAAAAAGGTTAGCCCTGTGTTTCAGAGTCACACTCTAAACATGTTATGTTAAAGAATGCAGGGTATTGCTAGTTGCGGCCATGCACTAAATGCACAAATTTATCTTCTGTTTTGTTGCCATGCACAGTTTTATTCACCGCACCCCACCGGCCACAATAGCTGTACACCCTGGGCGGTTTTGCCCAGTACTGTATAGAATAGAATAGAAAACCCACCACACTTATCGACAAAAGTATGATTATATCTCAGTTTGGATCCAATGGTATCAGTCCAGTCTTACGCAACTAGTTGCAGTTCAAACAAATATTAAATGATTAATATGTAGTTGTTTTTGTTTTCAGGTTCAAGAAAACTCGCCCGGTGCTAAGGCTGGGCTAGAAGCATTCTTTGATTTCATCGTGGCCATAGGAAATACAAGATTGGTAAGAGATTAGCCCTGTTAGATTTACCCAATAAGGCAAGCTAACTGGCCTGTTGGTATCTTCATATGCTTGACTTATCTTACTGTTTACATATCCTTTGAAAGGATAAGTGTACATATTTTGAGACTAGAGAGGATAAGGAAATAGTAATATAAGTCAAGCATATGCAGATACAGTGTTACAAAGGAAATACATATGTGTCTGCAGGTAAAAGTGGTAATAAGGTTAAGTACTGTAAGTCTTGAAACTTTCTCAGTGGCTTTATTTTTTAGGTTTTACAGTGACCTTTCCATTGTGAATTAATGACATTGCCAGTGTGCATTATCAATATGTGAGTGCCTACGAAGCCTAAGGGCAAATATACCAGCTATACTGTTACAGTTAAAGATACAAAATACTGTGTTACGGAATTGTGTTAACTGCAATTTTGAAACACTGCAAAAAACTCCTTTCACCTCCCATTGCAAATAAAACCACCTCAACAGCAGATGCATTTACAATATTTTTGTCTGTAGCATGGAATGGAAGGCTCACAGTAGAGCTGTATAGCAGTGTGGGTAAGGCAGTTAAGACTGCCAAGTTAAATCTGATTGCCTTGTTTCTCTGTTTGACAGGATAAGGACAATGACACCCTTAAGGACCTCCTTAAGGCTAATGTGGAGAAGCCTGTGAAGATGATGGTGTACAGCAGCAAGTCTCTGAAGGTTCGGGAGGTCACCATCACCCCCAGCAACATGTGGGGAGGTCAGGGGTTACTCGGGGTCAGCATCAGGTTCTGTTCTTTTGAAGGAGCCAATGAGAACGTTTGGCACGTACTGGTAAGTACTGTGGAAGTTACTGGAGCTACTTTACCAAATATGGCATAATGTAATCTCCAAGCAGATATCTGGTGGCAAATGTCTTACAGTTAGAACTGGCCATCAAGAGAGAGTCTGGCAAATGGATGCTGCCTGGCCAGTGTGATACTGTCTTTGCAGCAACCAAAAGATCTGCGTAGAGATTAACCTAATGGATGTACAGTACTGTAAGATCTGGAATAACTTCCCATCTACAATTGTGCATATCGTGATGAAAAGTTGTGTAAACACAGTCAAGAGGTGTGCACTTCTCCATATTAAATGCATGCAAGAGCCCTGAAAAAGTTCATGTAGATTAAAGATACAAATGTAGTACCAGACAGCTTTGCCAAACATTTCAATTTTTGGATGAACTGAATCGCAAAGAAACTCTAGTGAAGGCAAAACTTGTCTGGAACAGGTAATTTTCAATGTTTCAATGTTACCTGCATCATTGCAAGTACATATATCATTTTATATGTATAGAAAAAGTTTTTTGCATCCTAACATGTACTTTATATGCACAGGTGTATTTTGATGTCAGTTTTACCACAAATGTTTGTTCTTGCCAGGATGTCCAGCCCAGCTCCCCGGCTACCCTAGCTGGTCTGAAGTCCAACACTGATTACATCATAGGGGCAGACACAGTACTACATGAGGTCAGAATATTCAGGAACTTTTGTATTTCATTGTCATCGGTTTCATGCCTTCATTAAGAAAAGTATTCAAACAAAATGGTGTACCAGTAGCCCATTTCCTACTTTACTTACAGTAAGCCTCTGACAAAACAGATAGTTTCTATGACAAGTATGTAGCCTACATTGATGACTGATTGTTTCTGATTTGTTTGTGTTTCAGTCTGAAGACCTGTTCTCCCTGATAGAGTCCCACGAAGGAAAGCCCCTGAAGCTGTATGTTTATAACGTGGAGACGGACAGATGTCGAGAGGTCACCATCACCCCTAATGGAGCCTGGGGAGGAGAGGGGAGGTAGGTGTGATCTACATGTCTATATTAGGTCAGGTGCCTGGGAAGGAGAGGGGAGGTGTGTTATAGCCAAGAGTAGGCTAGGTGTGTCAAAGTAAGGAGCAGGTTGACAGCACTTGGGTTGGGAAAGATTGACAGGCAGGATGACAGGATATCAACAGGAGCCAGTATGGCCAGGAGCCAGCAGGAATTAGAGGCCAACATAGGGGAATTCAGGAAGATGAGGATTGCATACCTCCCCAAAGTCCAAAATCTCCAATTTCTTGTTGTATTGCAAAACAAGCTAAATTTTATGTTTAATCACACACTTATTTTTTTAGATACAAAATGGCTTGTTGAAATAAAACTTGGTTCGACAGTAGATGAGTGCCTTACTTGGAATACTCACACAAAATTAACATCTAAGAAAATGGCCAGATCACTGGGGATGATCAAAAGATGTGCACACTTTATGGATCAGACATTGTTAAAAATTGTAATAGAATGCCTTGTACTATCTCACATTGATTATTGTAGCCCAGTTTGGTCATGCACAACTAAAACTAACATAAACCTTCTACAACGAATGCAGAACAAGGCAACTCGTCTGTTTCAGTCGAAACCACAGTGGAAACCTGTGCACACGAGATTGTTAATAAACACCATGACAACATTTAAAAGGATAACACTCACTAACGAACCTATTTGTATCAGTAGGCAACTGCGTTCTGTCAACAACTTGCATAGCTATAGAACCCGTTTTGCTGCTAAACAGTCTTTTCTGTTATACAAACCTAGAACTAACGCACGGAAGAAGTGTTTCATGTACAGGGCTGTTAGTGTGTGGAATAACCTTCCAATTGTTATGCAATCCACACAATCCCTGAGGGTTTGCACAAATACCTCCATCAGTAGGTCACGAGCACTGTTCGACAGGATTGTCAGTTTTTTAAAATTATGTATATTGTAAATATGTTATTGTTTTAGATATGTTTGTGACTTGACCAGTTGTCCACTATGTTTGTATAATGTATCGTCTGTATGTACATGTATGAATACCAGGAAGACTAGCGTCCACCGCTAATGGTTATTCTAATAAAGCTTCAAAGTTTCAAAACTAAATCTTTGTCTTTTTCCCTCCCTCCAGCTTAGGCTGTGGAATCGGTTACGGTTACTTACACAGGATACCCACAAAGTCTCCTCAGGAGGTGAACATGTCTGTCCCTGCCTCTGCTCCCCCCTCCTACAACAGTGTGGTACCTCCCGCTAACGTGGCGCCCACTCCTGACGGCTTCTCAGAGGTAAGGAGATATTGGAAATTATGAAACTTTCGCATTGGTATTATAGACATGTAAAAATACTGTAAATCCTTAACATTTGCAGTGGTATTATAGAGACATGTAAAAATACTGTAAGACTTAAAGTCCTGAAACATTAGCAGTGGTTTTGTAGACGTGTGTGGTGGATTTTTTTTAATATGCTGGAAGTTATAAAGCAGCGTTCTAGCCAGTGTCTTTCTGTCATTTGATTGAATTTTGCTGCTCACGAAATGTTGCCCAATTCATCATCTTTGACGGACAAAAATTAGCGTGTAAAGATATGGAAAGATATTTCCTTAAACTAATCCTAGTCTACTACTAGTACAGTCAAACCTGTCAGTTCAACCAACTGTGTGAGGCAACCAACTGTTGCCAACAACCACATTCAAACAGTCCCGTCCCATTTTACATAGTAAGGACCCCCTTCCAGGCAACCAACTGTAAAACGCAACCAGCGGCCACGTCTTTTTGGTCCCTAGGGAGCATAGACACCCCAGTCAACAACCACTGGATTGATATTAGGGCAAGCGAGGTGACGTGGGTACAACGCACATGCGGAGTTCGGAACGCCAGCAATGCACACGACTGTTTCGTTTACATCTCAGAGTAATGTTATACTTCAATAAAATAAAATAATTGTGCTGAAAATAGGGGTACAGTTTTTACTTTTAAGAAGTATTATATTCTTGCTACCGTATTTCTTTCAATAAAGTTCGCACCCCAAATAAAGTTCGCACCCCCGATTTGGGCTTCATCGCAGGCCATGGCATGCCTGCTGAGATACTCAACAGAAAAACCGTAATAAAGTTCGCACCGATTTTTTTGCCCAGCCCCGCGAGCGAAGTCCCCGGGTGTGGCCACGCCCCCGTATCGGATCGCGTGGCACCCTTTGATGATGGAATCCCTAATCGCCGCCACAACGTGCCGCCACGGAATTTTTCAAAGGAAACTTTCGTTCCGTAATATTATCCCATGGAGTTAGACCAGTGCTCCTTGCTTCTGTAGCTTGCGTTTGGTTACCGACAATAAACCTCCTCGTTATCGGAAGACCTGACATTGAACCGTTTGATTTCTAACGATTTTTTCATGCATGAACTTGGAAAGCGCATTTTTAAAAATGACATAAAGTTCGTTCTCCAGCATTTGCCCCGTAAAACACAGCGTTACCGTGTCATTAATGCGCCACGCGCCGTGCGGTGGGAACAGGGCGCCATGTTGGGTCAGCTGGAACATGTGCTGTATGCAAATCTTGCATGACGTAATCGTACTACGCATTTCTGATTGGTTTACGTAACTGTATTACGTAGTTCACCTCAAATAACCTCTGCTCTGATTGGTTACATTGCATTGTGGGTCAGCACTACCGCGTCCCCCAAAAAATGTAAATCTTACGATAGTTGTATGCCGAAAATAAGACAAAGAACGCTGTTATTTGCGACTACATAACGACCTCCAAGTACAGAAGTACATAATCAAAAGAATCTTTACGAAAATATAATTTTGAATGCGGGTTTGTAGTTCATTTTGCGTATTTTTGACGGTGAAAACAAACCCGGAAGTGTGTGGGAGACGCGGCGTGGGTTTGCATAAAAAATTTGCCCCGCTATTTTTAGCGTTTTACCCACAAGTTATAACTTTGAAAAACAATATCATGAGACACGGAATCGCGGTTTACTGCCACGCGCCACAAAAATCTAGGCTTGCCCAACACACACCGCTTGAGACAAGGATACAGCTAAAACACGGGAACATCGTGCATATCCACAAATCTATTGATCGCAAACAAAATCGCTGGGGTCGAAAATATTGTAGGGATATTTCTAGCGGGAGTTTTGTTGGTTTTTTTGACGGGGAAAATACGAAATTGACGAAACCCAATATGATTTTCTCATACATATAGAGTTTTAAAACGCTGAAAATTCCTTTATAAACTTGAAATTTCGTTATGCATTGTGTGCTGCGTCTTCTTTGTTCCCCTGCAGTGGACTGGTTGTTGTTTTTCAAGCCGCCAGCGCACCATTTTGTAATCAAGAACAAAGTTTTCCGTCAAATTTCTGAGCCTAAAATGACTCTTTAGGAATCTTTGAAGTCACAATGTAGCGTCACTATAGAGTAGTAAAGTGTAGTCTGCAAAAATTGCCGGCACAGAACCTGTAAACGCGGCAAGAAAGAGGAGGCGGCGTCAGTATGGCCTTGATCAAAAACAATCAACGTTTAAATCCTTTGTCGTCGGCCGGCTCTTTGATAAACAGCATGGGGAAACAGACAACTTTACCATGCTGTTTAAAAAGGCAGGTTTATTGTTTCCAACTGTCACTTTTCTGGAGACTTTCTGCGTGGCAGTATGGCTCACAACGTGTCGTCCCCGAAGAGAAAGCCCTTGACACTGCAACAGCGAGTAGAGGTGATACGCGTTCACGACCTGACCAACAAGTCTTCCCGTAAGCTGGCAGAGCAGTTCTCGTGTGGAAAGACGCAGATTGAGGGCATCTTGAAGAGAAAACGGGAAATCCTCGAGGACTTCGAAAGCAACACACCTCTGGACCGTAAGCGCCTGAAGGTAACCGGCAATGAGGAACTCAACATGCTGGTCTGGGAGTGGTTCAAGGACGCAAAGGCACGACGGCTTCCGGTGAGTGGTCCAATGTTACAAGTCAAAGCGCTGCAGTTTGCTAAAGACTTGGGGAAAAGTGAGTTCAAAGCTTCGAACGGATGGTTAGAGTCATTCAGGAAACGCCATAACGTCGCATTTGGGACAATGTCAGGAGAGAGGGGGGATGTGCCTGCTCAAGTTGCGGGAAGTTGGAAGGAGAGACTTCCATCACTGTGTGAGGGATACAGCGAGCGCGACATCTTCAACATGGATGAAAGTGGACTATACTACAGGGCTTCTACTGACAAAACGCTGTACATCAGAGGGGAGGACTGCAGTGGGGCAAGCGCTCAAAAGACAGAATCACCATCATGTTCTGTGCCAACTTGCTTGGAGAGAAAGAGAAGCCCTTGGTCATCGGGAAGTCAAGAAACCCGCGGTGCTTCAAGAATGTCAACGTGAAGTCACTTCCGGTGCACTACTATAACAACAGAACGGCCTGGATGACGAGCGGTATCTTTGAAGACTGGTTGAAGAAGTTTGACCGCAAACTCGGCCGTGAGAAGCGGAAGGGTCTTCTTTTCCTCGACAATGCCACCTCACACCCCGAGCTCCAACTGAGGAATCTGAAACTGATCTTCTTCCCGCCTAACACGACTTCCGTGCTGCAGCCCATGGACCAGGGCATTATCCAGACAACGAAGACAAAATACCGAAAGAAGCAAAATGTCACATGTGATTGCAAAGATGGACAACGACAAGACGCTGCAGGGACCTGACATCCTGAAGTCAACAAATGTCTTGCAGGCCATCACCTGGGTCAGTCAGGCCTGGGAAGACGTACAGGCCACAACAATCTCCAAGTGCTTCAAGAAAGCAGGGTTTGCCACCGAGCAGCACACACCAGAGGAACCATCAGTCCCAGAAGAGGAGGAGGCTGTCCCGGCCAGAATGGAGGAACTATGCCAGGATCTGTTCGGCTGCAACCTTCAGGAGTTGGTTGACATTGATAAGGACTTAGCAACATGTGACAATAACATCTCCCGAATGGATGGTACCGCAACAGAACTGTTACACAGCCTACAACAGCCAGAGGAGGACGCTAGCGACGAGGAGGGGGAAGATGATGCAGCTGCACTGCCAACAAAAGATGTCACGATCAAAGACGCCATGCCATGCATCGAAACGCTGAAAGACTTGTGTCTTACCAAGGACTATGGGGACATGTTACAATTGATCATGAGTTTTGAGACAAAGCTGAATGAGAAGGCAATGCAGCAGACCCAGGCAGCCAGGCAGACAACATTGATGGATTTCTTCAACAAAAAGTGATTACAGGTTAGATTGTAACTGACCAAATCTTGTGTAGTTGTCATTGTAGCAGTCAGAAATGTTGTTGTGCTGATCACATGCTGAGAATGTGTACACTCATGCTGTGAGTGTAAGTTTTGACTGTAACTAAGATGTACCCTTTTTTACTGTTTCAACTGTAACAGTTAAAAATGTTGAGGGTAAGATCTTGTATGGTTGTCGTAGATGTACATGTAGTAGAAATGTTGTTGTGATGATCACATGCTGAGAATGTGTAAGGTTTTAGTGTAAGTTTGACTGTAATTGCAACTGCATATATTTGGAGCTACAAAAAAAGTATAATTACACACATGTACCTTTTTCTGTTATCTCTTTGAATACTTCAAAGTCAAGTGTTTTCTATTGAATAAAAGATTTCACTGCATATGCTTTGTCTTCTATATTTCTTTGTTTCTTTTTTCTTATTATTCATATAAGATACATGTAAACATTACCCCGTAGTATTCACACCAAGGTGGTAGATACCCCCCTCCCCCCAAACTGTAGGTACCAACCACTCCCAGTCAACAACCATTTTTCCTTGGTCCCTTGAGTGGTTGTTGAATACAGGTTTGACTGTACTAGCAAAAATTTTCCCTTCAAAATGCAGGAAATAGCATTTCAGAGGGTCAAGATTTCAAAATTTTTGAGGGAGCATGCAGCCAGGCCTTCGGTGGTCAACATGATGTGACATCAAACAAAATTGAGATGATGAAAGAATTTTAAGCTGGCTAGAACACTGTTCTGAAGATTGTTTACCAAGACACGTTGAATACTAAAGAAGCGTTTTTGTCTGTAGGTCCCTCTAAGTGGTTCTCCCCCATCTCCTCAGAAACAAGCGGGGCTGGACCAGGGCATGGCGTCCCTGTCTGTAGGGACTGTCCCCACACCGTCTGTGCCTGGTGCACTCACTACACCTACTGTAGGAGCCAATCCTCTCAACACAGGTCAGTCACCGTCAGTGTGAGGGGGGTATGTGTGTGTGTGTGTGGGGGGGGGATCAGGGCATGGCGTCCCTGTCTGTAGGGACTGTCCCCACACCGTCTGTGCCTGGTGCACTCACTACACCTACTGTAGGAGCCAATCCTCTCAACACAGGTCAGTGTGTGTGTGTGCTATCTGTATCTGTAAAGCAGGTACAACCACCCTGCAGCTTTACATACCAGCTGTACTGTATGCATGTGTGTGTTTCCTGTTTGTTTTTGTGTGTGTGTGTGTGTGTGTGTGTGTCTTTGCATGCATGTGGCTCTGTGTGTGTGTGTGTGTGCCACTTTGTATAGGTTTTAACAGTAATTTCCTTTGTTGTTTTTATCTCTTTCTATGTAACATTTAGTGGGAGAAATTGATGCAAAATTCAGGGATTTCTTCAAGGATTTTATCCGTTTCAAGAAACTAGAATTCTCCATACACACCCTCATACCTAAAATCTATCACTACACCTTTAGGTGAGGTGGTCCAAGTTCCCCAGCTGGAGTCCCCAGAGTTCTCTCCACCCCCAGCAAACCAGCAACAAGAACAAACCGTTCAGAACACTGATGGTGACAAAAACACAACTGATCTTTTCATTGGTTCCTTGTAGTCAGGTGATGGGGCCTGTAGCAGTGGTGAAATCTTGCTGGATGAAGAAAACTTTCCTATAGCTTTCCTCACATCCAACCTCAAGTTCTACATATACAGATAAAGCCTCAGCAACTTTGATAGCATTCTGCTCTCTGGAAACTTAAAAAATCATGCATATAGATCCATGGACGAGCTTATCAGATGTTAGAAGTTACCTGCACATTTTTCGCCTTTGTACACCCCCAAAATTAAACGTATAAACTAGAAAGGTAACATTTGCAAAGCAAATGCATAATGTTTACCTTCCCTCCTGCTATAAAATTGCAACATTATGTAACCCAACACCTGTTACCATGGTGGCAGACGTCTGGTACAGGTCATTGACCTTTTGTGTTTGCAATGGAAGAAGAGGAAACAGAGCAAAAACAATGTTTTCCTTTGGTAAACATAATGCTAACACTTGTGTGTGTATTGTGCAGGTACCCCCACAGTCCCAGTGTTGCCTGCTGGGTCGCCTGCCCCTGCTGTAGGACTCCCATCCCTACCAAATATGGGCGCGCAACCGGGCGTGTCCCCAGCAACCGCAGCCTTGCCAACTATACCAGGTCTGTGTCCTTCAATCTCGTTTGTTGATTCAGGAAGAAAGTTTAAGCTTTTAGACCCTCAAATTAAACTGTGTGCTTAAACGATGACTAAGGAAGCTTGAAGTTTTTCCTACTGAGTCTACCCTTTTAGTGTTTGCAGCTAAATGACAAGTAGATAAATAATTCTCTACTAAGGTATCAAAGCTTTTATAAAAACTAATGAGCAAGGTATTTCTTTTCTCCCACAGGTGTAACGCCGCTTCCTAACCTGCCCCCTTTAACAACCCCCATCTCCCTCCCCGGCATTCCCCCCCTCAACTTACCGCCAGGCCTGGCCACCACGATGCCCGGAGGTCTGCCGATGACGACATCACTGCAGTTCACTCCTGGCGCCGGTACGTCCATGGAGGTTTCTAACCAAGGATGATCTTCTAATACAGTATATATAAATTCTATAAACACTATCTGCATTCTGACTGAAATCCTTGCTCTATCTTACTTATAGTTTCTCCTTGTACAGGAAATATTTTAAATCATTTCGGTGGAGTAATTCAAAGTTTTGTACCAGATACCATAAAAGTAGATTTACAGGTACTTGAAATACAGTAGCAGGGCATTTTGTAAAGCCAGAATACTAGTAGTAAGCCAGTTTATAGTTAATCCTGTGCATGCACAGTGTGATGCATTGATGGTAATATGTTAATGTTAAAGTCCCTTGAGACGTAAACAAGCATACATGTATTAAGAACAATATGCAATTTAAGGGACTTCATCTTTGAACATGCCCAGTTTAAACCTTGAACCAAGTATATTGGTTTATGATATGTATATTCTTAAAACAACCAAGCTTTGCAACTTCATGGTTTGCTTGTACCGTTCCAATCTGCAATCTTCGATCTTACAACTGCCAACTATTTTCCTCACTACGCACTGCTTTCTGGTGGCTTCATATTTGTAAGTTATTCAAAATTGCTTGTTTGTTAGTTTGTTCAACCATCTTCTGTTCTGAATGATATATGATGTAGTTTTAGCCCTCTTCCTCCAAGAAAAGGGGAATAGACAACAAGTTTGTTCAGTTTTGAGATGTATGGTGAAAGTAATATGCCAATACTAGTACACTGTGCTAGTACAATGTGCTAGTTCAGTAAGTGTCGGAAACAAAACAGCAGAAAAGATTGCTTCAAATAGAATGTTGGTTTTACCTATAGTTTCTATCCATATTCCACCTTTGTCTTTTGTTTATTTCTAAAGCCTTGGAATCAAGAGAAGTTTGGTGCACATGTAGCTGTGAAAAATTGTTTTTTGGGAAACAGATTTTAACTGTTTTGTGTTTTGTTTTTCAGCACCCCCTCTCTCCTTGCCTGCCAACATGACCATACCACCTGTTTCCCTTCCTGCCACATTCTCCATCCCCCCAGCTTCCCTCCCAGCATCCTCTTCTACCTCGCTCCCAAGTGTCGCCCCTTTACCCAAACTGCCTCCTGGCATCACCATCCCTCCCCTGTCCTCCCCACCGACCCTTCCTAGCGCCCCCGTTACAGATTTGACGGAAAGAGCACAAGACGCAACGTCACAAGAACAAGCGGAGAGTACGCCAACAGAAGCGGTAGCTGCAACATCGTGAAGAAAAAAAATACAGCCGTCATAAAATAATACAGAATAAGAACCCTGGACACCCCTGTGTACAAAATGTGTTGATCAAGGTCATAGGTCAGCAAGAGACATCCTCAGATAGTTAGTTATGGAAATGTAATAATCAGTGATGAAGAAGGACTACTGTTGTCAACAATAATTACAACTGTAAATATCAAACTTTTGCTGTGGTTTTATCCTTGTGGTGAATTCATCACACTTGGAATATCCATTTCCAATGAATTACTACTGTACGACAAAATGGTTTCAACCACAAATTTAAAACAGTGCAAAAACCTTTTCTCTGCTGCAAGATAAAACCACTACAAAAGTAAATAAATTTACAGTATTTGTAAGCTACCATTATAGTTATTTCTCAATCGGGCATTATTTTTTTAGTCTGTAGTTTTCGCCTATAAAAAATGGTTGGAAAATATTCCAACTTTGCAAGTTGTAGTCTACGAAAAGGAAAATAGAGACAAGGATAGCAAAAAAAGGTTTGTTGTTGTCCATTGTCAAAAAGCTAGACTTCCAGTTGAAAATGCATATATAAAGTAATGCAATGAAGAATATTTGTATCTCAAAGGTTTGTTGACAAATGCTATTTTACGTTAATTGATAGTGAATACATAAGTGTGCATTTTGCCTTTGTAAGAACAATAAGAAGTGGGATGAAATCTATCCGAGATTTTGCTATATTTATGGAGGAGAACCTGTAAACCACATAGTTGTAAATATTGGTTAGACAACCTGTATTGGAGTTACTAGTATAACAACATTAAGACATGTAATTGTTTTGTTGTTACCTGGGATTTTGAGGCTGTAACTTTTCTGGGTGTGGGGTTAGCTTTTAGACAATCCACACTCCTACTATGTATGATGCAATGTCATATACAGTCTTGTACACAAAAGAACTGGCAAGAGTTACTTTGATGAGTCTCCTTTATTTCATCATCACTATTTTACCTCTTCATATGTCGCCCAAACCCTTAACCTGTTCATTTGGTGACAAATGCCTACCTTAGCAGGCTGATAGCTGAAGTCTCACATTCATTTACATTCTTGCCCTATTTGATATACTGAAAAATCCCAAATGTACAGGTAAGAAGCCTTGAGATCTATAGAAGATTCATATACCAGTTTAAAGTGCTACCACATTATATATCCCATAGGATGTTCGTTTGAAAGGTAAACATAGCATTTTACATTTTGACGACGATTCAGGAAATTTTCCTCTCGTTTGAAATTACAGTAAAATAGCACCATTTAATTAAGTCCCTGAGTTCTCTTTGCAATCAAATACCCCGGTAGCAGTTTCTGACATTCATGTCTCACAATGTCTTGTCGTCTTTTGTTTTCTTGGATTGTCTCTGAAATTCTCTGTTAGTTCATGGCAAAAATGTAATCTATCAATGCTTGGTCATTGGCCAGGAGTTTAGGTGTGACTTCTGGCTCACGAGCACTTGCATGGCTTTCATTTGTGCTGTTGTTCCTTTGCCTTGTCCTGGCAGAGTTTTTCTCATTGTCAGGGCTGTGAAGAAGGGTTTCCCGGACGGAAGATGCTTCTTCCTGTATAAGAGGATGGAAAGGTGGTTTTGTGGTTAAGGTTGTTGAAATGAAAATGAAAATGAAGGTTCTGGGTTCGAATCCCTGGCAGGACCCAGGTTTGTGCCCGTGGAAAAGGCATTTAACACCTATTTTCTTACTTGACTTGGTTAAAAATGAGTACCTAGCTTTGGTTGGTGACATCCTTTTGGATGGGACATAAAGCCAGAGGTTCCATGTTAACGTTTGAGGAGAGCCCCATCTCCAGCACGTTAAAGAACTATTACATCATTGTATATATTTTCAAATTAGAAAAAAAAATGCTTACCTGATTTTCACCGTTTCTGGGTGTGTCATCAAGAAGGTCATTGATGAATGTCAGCTTTGAAATGCCCTTTGAAATAAAGCAACAAAACATTGAAGAACGCTGCTTCCAGCCAACTCCACTACTGTAATTATAAAATCTTATGAAAAAAATCTTAAATTGAAGTTTCACATGTATATTCATGAACAAAGCCGTTCTCTATTAGCTCCAACGTACATGACTAAAATTTTCCTATATAATACACTGTATAAGCTCACCCCAACCTTATCTGTTGATGACTGTCCTCTGGCGGATTTATCAAGCTTTGCACCCTTGCCCACCACCCTCCACTGGAAGACTGCACAGTCAGCACCACCTGTTGATAGCAGGTAGCTGTCGTCATACAGGAACCGCACACACGTCACGTGACTGCTGTGTCCTGGGTAGATTTGTCCTGTAGACTAGATTGAGAAAGTATGTGAATGTCTTTGGACTTTTTGTCACTGAGAAGGTAGCATTTTGGTCGGTTTTCATACGAAAAAGTATCAAATGCTTACCATAGGACTGGAACACGGGTAGCGGTAGAGGTTGACTTTGCCGAAGTCGTCAGATGACGCCAGCATGGTACGGTCGTTTGAAGCTGCGCATGCGTTAATGTCAGTACCATCCGCATCTTCAGGCCACATACCTGACGATTTTTGCAGAAAGAAAGAAAATAAAATATTTGTCTCTGTCGTTATTAAATTTTAACTTTTCAATTCTACAATGGCATTTTGTGAATATGGATATGTCGTTTCCGTGTATAATATAATATTTGCTACAACGTACCAAAAACGCTGTATCCAAACACGCAGGTTTGCGTGGCCCACGTGACGTCACTCATGCTGGAGGCGTGGCTAACATGACGTAATGCGGTGACGTCCCAGTACAGCAGCTCGTAGTCCCCGGATGTACTCTGGAGGAACCGGCTGCCGACGTCCCAGTCCAGGTGTGTGACGTAACTAGAATGGCCTCGTAACGTTCCTCTTTTCTGTAAACACCGAGAGATTGCTCTTTCACGTACTTAGTGACTCAGAGTACACCATCTTACTATCTTTAATTTGGTACATACATTTTCAGTGATGTAAAAACGACAAACACCGGTACTATGTACCTGGCCATTTCTATTCACGTACTGACATCTTGGTAAGAGACTGATCCTGATTGGCCATCACAGTTAGCAGTTCAGCCAATGAGAGGGTGCGTTGCTGCACGTCCGTCAAACAGTTACATTTTCCATTCTGCATTGTTACGGTTTGATGGAGGTGGGCGGTTTATTTCGGTTTATTTTTGAACTCTGACAGAAATCAAGTTACTTATAAGATTATATAATTACCTGGTACGCCCGACCGTTGTCGCTAACGGTGTAAACATAGATGCAGTTATCGTGCGACCCGATTGCGAGGAGCTCCCCGTTGGGCGAGTACTTGAGACAGTCCAGTTGCTCACTGGCATGTTTTCGTTTGATTATGACGTCACCTGTGGTGGCGTCCAACACGAACCACCTTTAGTTTCGCAGAGAAAAGTCGTTAAAATTAGTGGGATAACAAGCAAGTACTACACGTACTACAAGTAAGTACGTGTTTTGATCAAGTATTCTTTGTCCAAATGCCCACTTTCTAGGCCCATTATATTTTGACCACATAACACACGCAAATTCATAAATGTTAGTAACTTGTTACGCACCGTCCACACGTTGAGCCCACTGCGATGAGTTGGCCGTGTGGATGAAAATCGGCTGAGTGAGCGGGATACTGTGGAGAAATAACGGCAGGCTATAAAAATACCAACGTAGTCATTTATCTGAATCTAGATATACATCGTATTCTCGCTAGATTCTTGCAAGATTTCACTTGGCCTGGGTGAGCTTACTATAGATTTTTGATGACTAAAACGTACAAGATCTACAGTACATGTAACTAGTAATTTCTTTGAAACTAAAGGACAAAGATTAACGAATAATTTTCATACTTTGAGCGTGGTTCGCCAAACAACTTGTCGAAGTGAAGCGTTCCACAAGATGACGCAATTGACGTCATCAGTGGTGACGAACACGGGTTGTGACGGGTGGGTGGCGACGATCAGTAGCTCCGAGTGGTGGCCCTGGATTGGTCGGGAAAGAATGTCAGTTAAATTTAAATCCTGTCGAATTTCTCTCTTTACGTCATGGTTTTATACTTCTTAACACCTTTTCTCTTTTTCTCTAATTTTCCATGTCTTTTCTTGCCCCATCATTCTTTCCTTGTGCCCTCAATTTCTTTACTCTACTTCCATAACTTTGCCTACACCCCAATACGGTGCCTACGACATTCCTTGTAACAAGGGGCACATGGTAGATTCCATTGACCCCTGCCCCTATTTACTGATGTACGGACATCTTTTTTACCTGAGTTGTCAGCCTGAAGTCTTCTCCGATCTTCCCCTCACACAGACAGTTGCCCGTCGTGCCTACGAAGATGTTACTGTCAGCCGTGCCGCTTCCACTCTCAAGTACGCAGATAGATCTGACTTTACCTGTCTTCTTCGGGAGCTGCAAGAAAAGGCATCCGGAATTATAAAAGTAAGCACTCCCTATTTTGTTTATTCCTTGAGACAGATCAATGGAATCAATTGTTCGTGCAAGGTAGATATATGCTGCTCATGTCTACATGTTTTACTCGTTGTGAGGCGTTAGGTGAAATTCCACACAATACCGCCAGGAGGCGTCATTGCCCACAGTGTCATATGATCCAAGTTTATAGTTTGTTGTTTGAACTTTGAGTTCGATCATTGTTAACACTTCGGTGGATTGGTAAAATATTTTCGAATATTTACCTTGCTGATTTTCAGAGGCTTCTGGAGGTCAAGGTCCCACAGGACGATTTTCTTGTCACCTCCCCCTGACATTAGTGTCCCGTCCCTCCGCACATACAGTGCTGTCACCCCCTCTTTGTGCGCACCAATAATGGTACGCCCCGCCTGGTTAGAATCTTTCATAAAAGAAAAAAATACAACTGATACTCCGCCACGGAAGTCACTTTCAATGAGTAGATTTAAGATACATGAAATATGACTTCTATACAAATGATATCTATGTGAACGAAATAGTACATATAGTTATAACTCTTTACCTTTCTTGAATATCAATATGTTGCCTTTTGAGTCTCCCGTGATGACGTCACCATTTTCTAGGAAGGCGATATATTCGACGTACTTGGGCTTCAATTTCTAAAAATAAGAAAAATGTGTCACACAGATATTGTTGCTTTTAACTGCATATTCACTGCGCATAGTTTATTCTTTACGCACCTTAAAGCATGCGGAAAGGTTCCGTTCTTTCACTCGTCTATTCACGCATATTTAAGGTGGGTTTGAACTAGGATTTCTCGAAGAAATCAACATAGAGACGAAGTTAAAAGTCACTTGGATAGTGTGATAAAATTAGAGATATCGTATTACCCCAAATATGCCGTTTTTTCTTGATAAAAGGCCGTTTTTCTTCAAAGTCCAGAACGTTACGTGACCCTTTCCGGCTGTGACCAGTTGAGTGTTGTCCTTTGGGTTAAAGGCGGTTAAAAAGAGCGGGTCTGTTGTTGCCTGTGGTGAAGGAAACACGTAGGAACAATAAAAAATCTTGAATTGTAATGAAAGTAAAAAACTCCTAAACTAAAAGCTATTCAGAAAAATAGGAACATTCAAGTCTACGTGAATTGTTTTAATCCCCAAACAGATGGTTGGTGGCTGTAAGGCAGTATCAAATTGGCGAGATAGAATCATTGGCAGAGCAGTGCAAAATACGCCGCCGAAGTAAAAGATACCCGTGCAGAAAAGTATTCGTAAGCCCGTTAAAAACCTTGGCTTCTGCGATCGTGTGTTTTTTCTTCCAGTCCCAGAGCCGAAGCATGGTGCCGCTACCATTCTCATTTGCGATCGCCAGTTGTGCACCGCCATCCTTCGCAAAACGAGAAACAAATAACTACCTTTGTATATCTACCATGGATGTAGTATGTCAGTATTTTTATGATATTGCGACGAACGAATTCGTACTAGATCGTCAAACTTTCCGTGAAATTTTTGCGGTAGGTCGTGGTCAATTTTACAGACGATTCAATGACATAAAAGTGTTTGGGCGGAACCAAAACATGTTGCGTATGTGTATCATAGAAAAAGTACTCACTGCAATGGAAAACGAAACCGCACGGGGGCCGAACGCCAACTGTCCTGCGCCGATGACTGTTATTGTGTGCAACGTTCTGGAGTCCCAGATACACACACGAGACTATTGGGGGAGAGATTAAAGGTTCAACCAACGATAGCACGGCAATTCCGTCAAATATTTGCATATTATCTAGCTGTTTTTCATGCATTGAGACACTGAAGGTGGTATTTTCCATAAAAACCTGAAGCCTTACCTTGTACCAGTTGTCTCTGTCATACTGGGTATTGAAGTAGGGGTCCAACTTTGCATAGTGCGGCAGCTATAGGGTAAAAATACAAAGCAAAGGTAGCGTATGACAAACGTAAACGTAAACAACGTAAAAACAATCCCCTACAATCGAATACTGACGACCCCAAATGGTCACAATCACCATGGATTTGGTTATCCCTGTCCTTGGTACTGAACACAAAAACATGCACACTACAAGTGTGATGCTCGGACTCCCTTCTACGGTTCTTTTACTATGTGCTTAGTTAGGAATCGGGATTTTCTTCGAAGTTATGGTAGGGAATAACTGTAATAAGTGTTCTGTATCATATTAGTGCAATAATTCTCACCTCCATGTCCCTCCGGTGTCCTCCCACTTGCCCACTGACGACAGTCACTCCATCCGGGTGAATATCAAGGCTGTGGGAGCCGGACGCAATTGATGATAAAAAAGGCTTTAATTAGAATCAGGCGTAAAATATATAACCCAATGATGACTTCGTATATCCGAATCGTATGTTACCAGTACACTTACCCTTGACAAATACATATCTATGGTATAGATGATGTAGCAATGAAACAATCGACAGTCTAAGTTTCCATTTTGTTTTCTCTGAAGTCATTTGTTGAAACAGTACTTATTTCTATTATTCGCAATCTTCTCTTTAAAGTATTTTTGTTGGTGGTTGCTAACTTTTGAAGAACGGTTGTTTGATTTTCACTCTTTTGGATGCACTCACCACGTGATGTCGTCCGTATGGCCCATGTAGTGCCTCTGTGTCTTCTCTGTGGGACTGTACAGCACCGCTACAGCGGCTATGAAGTACACAACCTCGCCAGACGCAATTTGGCGTAGGTTGGCCCTACAACTCCTGCCGTTGTAACCATAGCTGAGCCGCGATTAAAGAAAGTCACAAATCACTAAAAAAAACTTCGTTCGACGAAATTATTGAACGGCGTATTAGTATTCAGTCAGTTATCTTAATAAAATAAACAAGCAGACAATATTCTGCACATAAATAATACAAGCTTTATGTTTTGAAAGTGACATTATAAACACCGTCATAGCGAAGCCAACAACCAATAAGAGACGTTGTTGTAACGAAAGGATACACCCAGTCAAGTTCAAGTCTTCTCTTGGGCGTTGATTGGTTCTCTTTGATCTCGCCGCCATCCATAGGAGCGATCATCGTGATTGGTCGACCTCTGATGTACATGCGCACTACCCTACTGGACACTGAACAGGCACAAACAATGCTTCAAGTCTTGATGTTCTCAAAGTTATAACATGTAGTATAGAAATGTTTACCTATTGTTTCTTTTTATATAATGTCCCAGTAGTCTAGGTAGTTGCTGGAAGAAAATTAGCAACAATTGTTCAGTTACAATAAAAGAAACATTTTCAGGGTAGCCATTGCAAAAGCACGTTTCTTACCAATATTTGCCACACATGTTTACTAAGATTTATTGGCAAATAAGTGGTGTATAGTGTCCAGTTAAAAGGTTTTTAGGACAAGGCCGCCCGATCCACAGAAAGTAACAAAAGAACAACCTAAAAAGAACTTCTATAACATCCACTGCTTGGGAATGATAACAAAAGGTGTGCGATCTTGTTACATGTATTCATCATTTGTGTGTGAGGGTATCACAGGAGCCTGAGCTAGGGATAGAGACCTTACACACATTTCTAACGTTACTACCATGGTAACACCGCCCTCAATATTTCGTGTAGATTGAAGAACGAACTGTTCTACAAGAAAATTTTTCCAACAGTTTAAGTCTTTGATCAAGGTACAGAATTAGTATGGAAATGACCTACTATTGATATCAGCTTGTAGGAGAGGGGTGAAAATGTCGCTTACACGGGTTCAACACGGCTAGCTCGGTAGTGTCAACAGTGGACCTGGTTTTTCTGGTTTTGTTGTTCTATGATGTAGTATCTATCATACAACTGAGCGATCACATGTGATCGAACTTAGAGGAAGCCAAAGCGACTTCAGGGCAGTAGAAATTCGTCATTCTTCTTTTAATGTAGTAAGTTGAATCAACCCTACCCCATAGCAAAAATGAGGCAAATATGCTCTGTCGCTGACGGAAAACGGTTGCTCGTTGAAGTTGTCGAAACTAATTTTTTGAGCGAAAAATTCGCGTCAAATTTGCGTGTTTCTGTTCCAACTATTTTGTTACAGGTCAGTTAGAAAGAACAATCGTGTCAGGAAACTAGGTTAGTGGGTATCTACGTGTCGAATGTCTGAATGACACAGAAAACATCGTTTTGACTGATTGCCAATCATGGATAACAACACGTCACGGAAGTCTATCTAATTAGATTACTGCTTTGTTATTTGGTCCATTTGAAGAACTAAGTCGACCTTACCTGAATAGCGCTGGCAGATTAAGGTACTAGATTATTTATAAACTGTTTATGTACATATTGCATAAACAGATGAAGACATTTGGACAAAGTATTTTCATGGCATCGTATCAGTATGCTGTGGGATAGGCCATTAAAAATGACTAGCAAAGTGACTTTGAAACCAGTTTTACTGCCCTGAAATCGTTTGGGGCCCCTTTAATAAGTTGTTGCAATGACATTTTGGAGACATGGATACATTCAACGCAGTTATTTTTCTATCGTTGGATTTTAAGGGCATATGACAGAAAATATGGTGAAAACAACACTACTTTAACCATTCCCGTCACAATAGAGCTGAAATTTCCCACAACTTTCTTAAGACTGTTCCTAGCTGTTGTACCTCCGTCGTATGTACGATGAATGTTACCTGGCCAAAAGCCCTGTCACATATACCTTTATGTCAAACAAAGGTTTGTTTTTCCCGCGGGAGAACACTATGATCCAGCATGATTGATTACTATAGATGTTCTCGTGTTACATACAGGTGAAACTAGGTCACCCGACCTTAGCGGGACTCAGACTTGATAGCAAACATAACCTAACGGTGGGACAGACCTCATGAGGTTACGTTACCAGCAGAACTGCGTGGTTCAACGGTAACAACGTTTATGAGTCTGACACGAATTTGGGCATTTCACTGCTCTCTGATAATCAAGTTATCACATCTGAAAAACACAAATTTTGCTCGTAGTTACTTTGCGACGAATGGCCTAGCGGTTAGACTAGCGGACATACACAGGACCTAGCGGTTACGAGTTCGATTCCTGACAAGACGTTGTGTCCCTGGGAAAGGCACGATTATCCTCTCTCCACCCGGGTGTAAAATGCGTACCTGATCACTATGACTTCGGTTGGGGAGGTAAACGGAAGGACAAAGATTGGCTCGGCCTTCCAATACCGTGCCCTAGATAGTGTGGACTAACCCACTGTCCCTACAGCCGCAAAAATACTATGGGACTACCTTCACCTACTTAATATAATATTTGCGAATTACCTGATGGCATAGTAAAAGGTGGTCACAAGAAACTCTAAAATCGTCATTTTGAACTGGGATATCTATATCTTGTTTGTCTTCTCCTATTCAGAGCTAGCTCGGGGATTGTTTGTTGTCTGTAAGAGAAAAAAATTGTACTTACTCCCGGGGCCTTTCCACGGTCTCTCCGGGCTGCAACTCCGCGATCTGTCGGCGTTTGGAGGAGCGGACCGGGCTCTGTCCTTTGACGGGGACCTGTGCGACTTGCTCCCGAGACGCCGGGCGGGGGACGTCCGCGTCCTTTGCCGACTCCGTTCTCTCTCACCTTTCCATTGGATGTCTCCACACCCCACATTCGCGATCCTGGCAGGCCGACAGTACTGTACACCCGCACAGTTACTTAGCATTACCGGTATCTTACCGTCCATGATTCGGTCTCTCTCGACGTAAATACATTCAGTTTAACAGCCTGGTAACCATTTCTCACGGGCCGGCTCAGAGTTCGAGGTTTACGTATTCCAGTCCTACTAGTCAAGCTCGGGCCTCTTTCTGATAGCCTGTCTTTCCAGCTAGCCTCTCTGATGAACTGAACTTACTGTTACCGCCGTAGACGCGAGCGAAAAAATCCCCGTCGTACACTGACTAGTCAACCTTGGCGGACTGGCAACACTCCCAGGGCCGTAGAAATGTCAAGGAGCTGACGATAGTATGGTATAAGCATCAGGCTCCACGGAAACAGTCCCTCCTGATCATGAGCTTGAGTGGTCCTTGCATCACTAACTATGAATCTCTCCGTTAACTTTCAACGTACATTGTACCGGAACATGACTCAGAGTTCTGGGAATACGGACAATTTGCCTTTCATGCTTAACGCTTTTGTTGATTCAGTTGGTGATGTTTAGAAAATATCAAGTGGCGGTTTTCTGGGGAAAAATAACTCTCAAAGCGTTAATCGTCCGTAAGATGGACCCACCGAACGGTACGCATTGTACTCAACAGCAACATTGCCATGGCAACGACGCCGTGTCCTGTTGTTTTGGGCCGCGTTGCGGTTTCAGGTATCGGGAAGTAACATTACCAAAGCGAAACGCTACCCCACTGACCTGCTTTCTAGACGTACGGAAACAAGAGCGCAAATACACGCTATTTGTGTGAATTGTATTAATGTAAAATATGCGTGTATTTGTGTGTTTAGATGCGCTCCTTTAGAGACGCGCACGCTACTAACGGCTTTGTCATTTGTAAACAAAAATCCCCATTGCTTTCTTCCGTGACAGTATTACTCTGGCTGGCCATAAGCATACCTTGTATATAGTTGGTCAGGGGACAGAACAATAGAGCGTGACTAATGTGATCAAGTGTCAGTACTTCCTATTTTTAAGCTAATAGCTCGCTCGCTGCAAAATCTGATTTAGGGAAGAATTGATCGTTGATTGCAAACATAAACAGTTTGAAGCTATGTTCTCTACCAAGGTCCTTGTCCATTAGCGGTTTTTGTACCAAAACTACCCGGGTGAATCGCGTTCTACATTCTTGACTACTAGCGAAACATTCGAAGCTGAAGTCTATGATTATATAAACGTGTTTTTGTGATTCAATATTGGCAAAATTATTATATTCATAACAAATCCAGACAAAAAGCCTAAAAGCCAAGAAATGTATATCTATCGTTGCCAAGAACACTCTCATCAAAAACAAGTCAACAACAACAAGATTTCATTGAACCGGAAGATTTCTTCCACTCGCCAGTCAATGACGTCACACACCGCAGGTGTTGGTAGTTTCCCATGATGCCATCGGATCCCCAAGGCGGGAAGTCCCGTTTTGTTGGGGATCGTCATAAATATGGTTCTACGGTTCACCCGGGTGTGGACTGGGACTGGTGGGTGGAAGGAACCTCATAAACATCATTCTCATTGATAAACCAAAAAAAGTTACATTCATACATTGAAATTTGTGTGTGTGTCACTGAAGAAAATCACAATTTTTCAGCTTTACTGTTACTATATTACCAACTCTAGACTATAAAAAAAAGGTACACACTGAAATATGAAATTTATTACTGTAAACCCAATTCTTGGGTGGCTATTTTTTTTCATCTATGAGAAAACTGTGATGCTATTTTAGCTATGAACATTGACAGAACATGAATTTTAACGCTATCCGACAAATAGTGGTACAAACAGAATATCTTTTGGTGTCGACCATTTGTATCATCAGAAAGTAGAAAGAGCAATGTACCAGTCTCTTTCCTTTCCATTCTCGATATACACACCGCTTAATAAGTGACCTTAATCTTGTAGAGACTCCAACATCAGACAACCCGAAGGTTTTAGTCTGACGTTTTCATGAGCAAGATCTGACAGCCGACACACCAAGAGGGTGTACTCCGCATGCGCGTGAACGGTTGCCCGCGGAAGCGCATGCGTGTTAACAATTGTCTGCTGTAATGACTTGAAGAAAAGATAGAGACTGGTACAAGTCTTAGACAAAGGCATTGAGAACTACGAATATGCAAATAGACGTGCAGCAGCGCCGCCTAGTTGCATTAACGCGAACATCAGCTGTCGGGGATGCCAAGCTTCCGCAGCTTCTTGCAGGTCCCCTGGGAGTGGAACCGTCAGTCGTCCGCGGGGAAGGAGTCGTCGTGGCGGGAGTGCTTCTTCCTCAGACGGTCGAACAGGGACTTGGTCCTCCCGTGGCCACGGCCGTGATGGTGACCGCGGTGGCCTGGATGGCGGTGGTCATCTGGGTGATCGTGGCCCTCGTGATCTTCAGCGTGATCAGCGTGGCTGTCATGACCTTCAGCGTGACTGTCATGACCTTCATGATCAGCGTGACTGTCATGACCTTCAGCGTGACTTTCATGACCTTCATGATCAGCGTGACTGTCATGACCTTCAGCGTGGCTGTCATGACCTTCATGATCAGCGTGACTGTCATGACCTTCAGCGTGACTGTCATGACCTTCATGATCGTCAGCGTGACTTTCATGACCTTCAGCGTGACTTTCATGACCTTCATGACTTTCAGCGTGATCATGGTGACCATGATGTTCATGGTGATGATGGTGGTGATGATGATGATGATGATGATGTGTACGGTTCCCCTCTGTGTGGTTGTGTTCTGTAAACATGTATTGTGTCACGTTGTTTACAGACGTCCCGTTCTGCAAGGAGGAGTTGGAGATGGTGACGTTCTCACTGATGAACTCCTCATCCTGAAGAAAGTAGAAAATCAGATCATTATTGACATGCATCTTTGAACTACGTTACTTATTACACCTGAAAGTGAAGGGTGTAGATTACACCACAGGTAGATGACGGGGTAATTGGAGTTACATGGGTGTGCCTTGAGTCACCATTGACATGCGATGACGTTTGAACTTTCGGTGGGAAAAAACTTTCTGTAACTGTCAAGTACAACAGGCTCCGTCTCTGAGGTGTTGCCAAAAATTGGAAAAAGACCCTTCACTGGTAATATATTTGGGAACAGCGTTACACTTAGGCACATCGGCGGGGTGGCGTCAGGCACATGAGTCGACTTACCATGTGTATCATGTTACATATTGGCTTTGTAAATTTACTGCCTTCTGGGAGCTGTTTGGCGTCATTGCCCCATACTAGTACTAGTGTACAGTAGGTCAAAATTACTGGAAGTGCGCTCACCGGAAAGCCCGACCCGAGGTCCTCCTCTCCCACGGGCAGGCCGGGAGTGGCGCAGGGCCCGCAGGGACTCTGGTAGTACACGGACCTGATGATGTTCTCCACGTCAGGGTTGTCCATGTTCGCCTGTGGCATCCTGACGTGTCGAGCTAACCGCCCACACCTGTTAGCACGCCATGATAGGAACAGAGAAGAAAATCCTCAATGAAACATAAATTAGGTATGCAGATATCGAATTCAAAAGTGGCGCTGAATTTTTCACTGCGCAAGTCGTTTGGTTTAGATTCAGGATTTACACTCAATGTTCTAATATGATGAATCTAAAGTGAACCCATCTATGCAAATTGGCTTGGATTGTTTAAGGTAAAATTTGCATAAATGATACGAGTTCACATACTCCCGAGACATTTTTTGACTTCCAGTTTGATCTCATTTCCTGACGTCTAATTCGACCTTCCTGTCGTCTGCGGTTACATCATCCCCCCTCACTTCACGTGACTGTACTGCGTCCAAACAGTGAACAGTGTTGTCCTCACCTGTCGTAAATGATGAAGTCATCCTTACGAGCATCTAACAGCTTCCAGATCTCGTCCTCGGCCGTGTCTTGGTACACGGGGAAGCTGACTCTCCTCTCTATCTCCCCGATCTCCTCCGGGGCGCTGTAGAGGTGGCTGTTGACCGCTCCGAAGGAGATGTCGGTCAGGCCCTCCTCTACGAGTGTCGATCGCAGGCGTTCGGATCTGGAGTACAAGGATTTTCTCTGTTTTAGGAAGGCATCTAATGAACGCCTAAAGCCCTGGTCAGGTACATCGTGCGATGTTTTTTCCGATGATATCGCAGTACGTTGTATGTTTGAGAATGAATAAATAGTAATTTGATTTTGACAAACCTCCAATTGGAGCTTGCAGCCAATCACACCATTTTTCATTCCACTTCACCCAATGATATCGCCGTACGTCTTACGTTTAAGAAGAAATGAGTGCAATAGATTAATTTTGATCTCCAATTGGACCTTGGTGCCAATTACCTTACGGTTACACCACCTTCTTCTTTGCTGTATTCAAATAACTTCGGACACACAAGTAAACAAGCAAGCATACAAACACAAACACACCAAAAACAAAAAAATTGTACAGAAGGAAAGTGCCATACGTACTTCTCCGCCTGCGACCGACAGAAACGTCAGGAAGCGAAGAGGAACTGCAGGACGGCGACGCTCCCCTGGCTGTCCTCCATGTGGTTCACCCCGTCCAGCTGCCAGGCCGGCGGCTGGGCGCAGTACGGGGACTCGGTGGTGGGAGCCAGGGTGGTGCTGACCGGTGTCGTGGTCTCCCGCGGGGCTGGCGGCGGGGTGGCGGCACAGGGTCCGCAGGGGCTCTGGTAGTACACGGACCTGATGATGTTCTCCACGTCAGGGTTGTCCATGTTCGCCTGTGGCATCCTGACGTGTCGAGCTAACCGCCCACACCTGTTAGCACGCCATGATAGAAACGGAGAAGAAAATCTTCAATAAAACATAAATTAGGTATGCAGATATCGAATTCAAAAGTGGCGCTGAATTTTTCACTGCGCAAGTCGTTTGGCTTAGATTCAGGATTTACACTCAATGTTCTAATGTGATGAATCTAAAGTGAACCCATCTATGCAAATTGGCTTGGATTGTTTAAGGTAAAATTTGCATCAATGATACGAGTTCACATACTCCCGAGACATTTTTTACCTCCAATTTGATCTCATTTTTCCTGACGTCTAATTCGACCTTCCCGTCGTCTGCGGTTACATCATTTCCCCCTAACTTCATGTGACTGTACTGCGTGTTGTTCTCACCTGTCGTAAATGATGAAGTCATCCTTACGAGCATCTAACAGCTTCCAGATCTCGTCCTCGGCCGTGTCTTGGTACACGGGGAAGCTGACTCTCCTCTCTATCTCCCCGATCTCCTCCGGGGCGCTGTAGAGGTGGCTGTTGACCGCTCCGAAGGAGATGTCGGTCAGGCCCTCCTCTACGAGTGTCGATCGCAGGCGTTCGGATCTGGAGCACAAGGATTATTTTTAGTAAGGTATAAAATCCCTGGCCACATACATCTTACGATGCACGTAAGATGTTTGTTTTTTCCGCAACAATATCGCCGTACGTCGTACGTTTGATGAGAAATAAGTGGAATAGTTTGATTTTGACCTGCAACTGGACCTTGGAGTCAATCTACCATTTTCCACTCCTGCTAATGGTATCGCCGTACCTCGTACGTTAAAAGAACAAAAAAGTGCAATAGTTAAACTTTGGCCTCCAATTGGACCTTGCTGTCATTCTATGGGTACAACGTTTTCTCTTTATTAAAATAAATACGGGCACACAAGCAAACAAACAATCACACCGAAAACAAAACACTGTAGAGAAGGAAAGATACGTACTTCTCCGCCTGCGACCGACAGAAACGTCAGGAAGCGAAGACGAACTGCAGGACGGCGACGCTCCCCTGGCTGTCCTCCATGTGGTTCACCCCGTCCAGCTGCCAGGCCGGCGGCTGGGCGCAGTACGGGGACTCGGTGGTGGGAGCCGGGGTGGTGCTGACCGGTGTCGTGGTGGCACAGGGCCCGCACGGGCTCTCCTCGTACACCGCCCGGATGGCGTCTTCCACGTCTGTGTTGTCCATGTTCGCCTGCGGCATCTTGATGTGTCTAGCTAGCCGCCCACACCTGTGAACACGGACGTTCATGTCTTAGGTATAGAGACAAACATCTTTCATAATACACCAATATCCATACACAAGGGGATGCAGCCACTCTAGTGATGCGAACACTTTGTATTTTTCTGATTTGTTGTTTCCTGTCGTTTTGCTATGTCGTTTTGCTCCTTTGGCGTCCGCCATGTTGGTGGGTTAAAGACGAGCGCAAATCACAGTGTGAGGATTGACTTCCCTCCACCTCAACAAGCCAGCTTTTCGCCTCTAGGATTTTAGAGAGAGCTAGCCTCTTTCTCAGGACCACTGGTTTTATGCTCGTATTTATGCTCCGAGTGCCCGGTCGCCATCGTGGGTCTATCCACCGCATCACCAAAATGGCGGCGAAGGCTAACATGCGCGATAGTTTTTGATCAGCCAATAGAGAGGTTGGTGTTCTCTAATGGGGTGAGGTCACATGGTCCTATCCATTCAAATTATCGTCTTAGCTAATTTGCATAGAAGGGACAACTCCATGTGTTCAGCATTGCTCTCACCTGTCGTACACGATGAAATCATCCTTGGACCCGTCCAACAGCCCCCAGACGTCCGTCAGGGCGTTGTCCTGGTACACGGTGAAGCTGACCCGGCTCCTGATCTCCTCGATGTACCGCCTGGACATGTAGCCGTCCCCGTTCACCACCCCGTAGGAGATGTCGGTCAGGCCTTCGTCCAGGAGAGTCGATCGCAGGCGTTCGAATCTGAGGCACAAAGTTTATTTTTTTTCTCTATCCCAACATCTATTACAGCACATGGCGACGCTACACTCAAGTTTTTTTTTCAACAGTTATTTTGCTACTTCCATTAACGAACGAACGAACGAACGAAGAAATGAATGAATGTATAAATAAATTAAGTGTTCAGTTGCACTTTACATAGTTTAAAATGCGCTAATACTGTGTTCCCTGTCCTTGGTGCTGACTGCGTTTCCCTGCCCCTGGTACTGACTGTGATGCCTTCGATCTACGTATTACCTCCGTGAAACTGGAGACAACTAGACAGATCTTCAATTTCTTGTAAGATGGTAGATGTAGAAAAATAGAATAGATATAGAATAGATATATACAGATAGATTATGAAAAAGTTCCTTACTTCTCGGCCTGCGATCGACAGAAGGGTCAGTAGGCGAACACCAGCTGTAGCACGGTGACCTTTCCCCGACTTTCCTCCATGTGGTTGATCCCGTCCAGCTGCCAGGACGGCGGCTGTGAGCACTGCTCGTTCGGTGCGGCCAGGGCGCCCAGGCCGGACACCACCAGGCACAGGGCCGCCGCTAGGAGGAGTCCTCCGCGGTCAGCCATGCTGGAAAACACCGTAGAAGACTTTAAATTTCTATGCATGTTGCTGTCTGTATTGAGTTGACAGATGGTCTTTCAGAGACGTTGGTAAATTTGACAAAGACTGAGACTTGATCCCCATTGTATGCACAACACATCAAGGCAGTTAACAATTTGTTCGCTGCATTGGTATATGTTGCTTGGCTTGTCGTATATACTAGTATTTGTGAAATGATGCACGTTTTTTTTAATACTGTAGTAGTTTTTATAGGTAACGTATACTATTACAAATGACCTCCCCATCTTAAAGTTTTTTCTCAATAAAACTTGCGATACGTTTTGAAGACGTGCGCTTGGCAATGCAAAATACATATTGACAAACTGTACTTCTACAAACAGTCTTTGTAATAACAGGCGCCACAAGGAGTTCACAGATCACACCTATATAAACAGCTTATTTACCTAATCTGTCTACCTGTGCGGTTTTAGACCTTTGGCCCTTTGTTTTGTCTGCTTTTTGATGACGCAACCTTTACTATAGGTTGTTGCTATCGTCAATGGATACTTGAGGGTACAGGCACCAAAATCAATTCAAAGCGAGAAAAAAACGAAATGATATCACTATAAGACACAACAAACCATAAGAATATTTAAAGCACTTTTTTGATACTGGGGCTAATGGTTGGTCGAGAAACATGTTGCAAAATGGTCCATGACAAAAACACCGTGCTTTTTCACCGGTCACATTCGGCGTACTCAGGCCGTTTTTCGATTTTGATGCCGTACGATTTTCAAGCGGACTAGGACAGAGCCAACCGTGTACAATACGTCTACTAATCGTGTACATTTTACACCCCTGCATTTTATCACAATGTTTAGCCAACGCTTTTTCGTGCATAAGATTCTTGCAAAAATGATTTAAAACGTGCGGAAAGACGGCCCAACGTAACACCTCTGTTTTACTCCTTAGAAACCAATGAAGAAATGCTATCCTCTGTTACTGCCTTTTTATAACCGAGGGCTAATAAATATACCATGGCTTACCTGTCGAAAGCCCGAGCTGTTTGTGAGCGGGCAATGGTTGGTCTCTGTACTTTGAGCATCGGCCGATGGACGCAACCATTGTGACGTGGGGACAAAATTATGACTATTATGCTAATAAATGTACCACTTTATACGCCTAAGTACGCTTTGTTGAAATCAACGTAAACACAAAATAATTACATAACCGAACTGGATGTTGTATTTCTAGAAAGTGTGCATTTTACGCAAAACCATAGAATATTAATGCTAGATAAAAATTTGAGCCCCCACTTTTAAGATAGTTCGATCCATGTGTACCAAACGCTTGACTGACAAGTCATTGTTCATATGATTGACTGTAACCGCTCTTCAGTTGTTTTTGTAAGTTTGTACAAGTTGATAGTCCGTCAACTTTCGGCTGTTCCTAATTAATGCAGCGCAAGACGTCTGTAGCATTTAAATATTTATTTGAAAGCAAAATAAAGTAAAAAAAAACATTGTCAGGGACACACTCTTGGTTTATTGACAGATTTCTTCCACTCGCCAGTCCATGACGTCATACACAGCATGTGTTGGCAGTTTCCCATGATGCCATCGGATCCCCAAGGCGGGAAGTCCCGTTTTGTTGGGGATCGTCATAAATATGGTTCTACGGTTTACCCGGATGTGGACAGGGACTGGTGGGTGGAAGGAACCTAGCAAAATATTTTATTACATGTACCACAAAGCGAACATTTTTATCACCTATACAATGACGAATTTGTCCATCGTTGTTCCTTGAACATAGCACGTGTTAAGTTATCTTTCAACTCGCTTATTTTTTTTAAGTTTCAACAAATCTGTTGAAAGTATGTGTTAGATCTGTTGAAACTATGTGTTATCTATCTAAAACATGCAAACTGACGAAACAAACAGTTCAAAACTATTTAAAAAAACAACATATTTTGGACGGAAATCTAATTCAATAAAAGATAAAGAAGCTAGGCTGTAATAGGTTTCCCCTTCGACATGAAATAAAACTCTTCTCATGACCGCTCATAATCTTGTAGAGACTCCAACCTCAGACAACCCGTTAAGGTTTTAGCCTGACGTCTTCATGATCAAGACCTTAAAGCGTCATGAAGAAAAGCGTTATTAATTGTTTTCTAAGAGGAAATGCCGAGAAATGCCCAAGACCTACAGAATGTATGACCAATGGGTGAAAGAAAGTAGAATGGAGTCAGCTACACATTCGTAAATGGTGTGGTTGAATGAGAATAAATAAAGTGTGGTTGTATCCATGATTCAGTTGCCGAAAGCAAACATTACTTCTTGGCGACGCCTCCGGAGCGGAGACATTTTACAGTTACTACCATCGATTTTAAAATGTTTAGAAAATTCAGCAAAAGGAGTCTCGGGGGAGCTGCAGCTGGTTTTTGATGTAGCCTGCTCAGATAGGGATTTAATTTGAAAGAAGTAGAGGCTGGAGTTCGTGTTATCCAGACGATTCAGGAAAAACTTAGTTAGCTGTGTCCTCGTCTTGTGACTTTTGTTGATGACTACGGTCACGGTCACCTCGGTGACGGTGATTATGATGACGACGATGATGACGTGTAATGTTCCTCTGTTGAGACTCTGTGTTGTTGTGTTCCCTAAACATGACGCTTTTTGTCACCTTGTCTACAGACGTGCCGTTCTGTGGGGAGGTGGAGGTGGGGAGGGGGGTGTCGGACACATCCGCGTCACTCATGACATTTAAGATGAACTCCTCATCCTTAAGAAATGTAAGAAAAAATTACTGTTACTCAATGTACTTACTTCATGTGATCCTTTCCACTAGTACTTTGAAAATATCATAAATACGTATTTGCTCTTCCGTTCATTTCATGCATCTTTTGAAATGGAATAATTGTTATAGGAATATATTTTCCTCACCAGATCTCCTGACCCGATGTCTGATGCCATAGTGAGGACGGGACCACTCGTGAGGAGACCAGCTGCAGGGGTGGTGAGGGCTGGTCTCGGCGTGGTCTCCGGGCCCGGGTAGGCGGCACAGTACCCGCACGGGCCCCCGGCGTACACCTCCCGGATGGCGTCCTCAACGTCAGGACGCCTCAGGTAAGCCTCCGGCATCCGGATGTGTTTAGCTAACCGTCCGCACCTGTGGATGCAAATATAGGCCACGTTAGCTCTTAAGAACTGCTGCGAAGAGCAAATAACTATCTCGCCATCTTGGATCTTTTTACCCCACCAACATGGCGGCTATGATGAACAGCACATTCAGGATGTGGTTGACTGTGTGTAATACCCCGGGATTGAATCACGTCCTGCAATCCCCTCCACAGTTCCAACACAGTCACCAAAGCTTTAAACACTCAGTCTCCGATTTCTTGTAAACTTGTGGATTTGAATAGTCTTCAGTAAAAAGTATTGACACTGATACACACGACTCATCATACAAGACAGCACCTGACATCTTTCTTCAGCTACTGCAAATTTAGTGACTGGACGAGGGTGTAGAGTCTTGTTCTCACCTGTCGTAAATGATGAAGTCGTCCTTCTTGCCACCCAACAGCCGCCAGACGTTGGCCCTGGCTGTGTCCTGGTACACGCCGAAGTTCACCTTCCCCTCCAACTCCCGCAGGTGCAGCTTGGATATAAACCCCTTCCCGTTGATCACCCCAAAGGAGACGTCGGTGACACCATCCGCTTGGAGTTCCAGTCGCAGGCGTTCTAATCTGAAACACACCCATTCTCCATTCAGTAAATACGGTTGCTGATGTATCACATGAGCAATACGAAACATAGAAAAATGTGGTACATTTTGGTCATTATAGTTTGTATAGTCTGCCCCCTCCTCCGCTTCGAGATAAGTGGATTTTTTTATCAAAGGTTGTGATTGGTTGAAGAGGTGTCAATCAAAGTGGGGGTCCAAGTTCTTATTGGCTAATCGCGTACGTATATTGCTTAATATACTAGTCTAAGAGCACTTTGAGAGTTGGATAACTTGGCGTACCTCTCCGCCTGCCATACACAGAACGATCAGATGGCTATGGACATCTGTAGAACGACGACTTTTCCGCGACTTTCCTCCATGAAGTCGATACCGTCCAGCTGCCAGGACGGCGGCTGTGAGCACTGCTCGTTCGGTGCGGCCAGGGCGCCCAGGCCGGACACCACCAGGCACAGGGCCGCTAGGAGGAGCCCTCCGCGATCAGTCATGCTGAGGAACACAGCAGGATGATATAGAAATGTGATTTTACAAACAGGCTATGCCAGAACCAACCGCTGACAAGGATATGACAGTCTTTTTAGTAGCAATTTAGCAGGAGTCCCCCAGGACATGTACATACGCACATGCATGACTATCCCACGCAAGAATGCCTTCAATGGCCACGACGCACGTCACCGTGGCACTCTGCAAGTACCCTCAAAATGCAATCAACGTTTCATGCAAGTACCCTTAAAATGCAATCTACATTGAGTAATTGTATGTTATAAAGGCTGCCCTGGGTACACATTGACAGTGCGGTATCGTACAAACTGCTTTGATTTGAGTAAGGACTCCGTAGTGTTTATATTTGTTCATTCTCTTATCTTCGTGTTGGCTAACACCCTGTACGTATCCCTGGCCATGGCATTCTATTTTTTACAGTGACGCAAAGCGTATATATTAAGATACATCTTATGCGAATCTAAGTCAAGCATATGCTATAACCTGTTACAGAATAAAGGATAGCATGAACATGCATACAATGGGAAAAATACCTGAAACAATTTCCACAAAACTAACGTACTGGCTGAGGATACATGACTGTGTACATGTAGCTGGAATGCATGCACACGTATGTCTACAACTTGTATGGCATTTTAAATCACTTTAGTCTAGACTTAGATTTAAAGTTTTAAGTTTCTTGCGCTTACCTTTTACTCTGTTTTATAACAGTGGAAAATCATCTTACAAAGCAAACGAGAGCATATGGAGAAATTATCAACTGTATAACAACAGGCCCACATGTAAGTAAAGACACCCAAGAATGCCAAGATTGACTTACCTGTCGGAAGGTCAGATTCTCACTGATACGACCCGCGATGTCTCCTGTACTTTATAACCGCCACTTACAGGACGGAACCATTGTAGTTGGGGTAGCAAAACATTCACAACACTAATACTTTATGATGAATAAAATGAATTAGTGACGCAAAAATATCAACTTTTCTAAGAGCGCTTCCGATGGGAGACACAGAAACTGAAGACAAGCGATATTAGCAAAAAGGAAAAATACCCTCTTTTTCAAATGTTATCTCCCTTTATCTACGGTATGTCTGACTTGTCTGAGTGACAAGCGATTGTTCATACTTCTGGTGGCGACGACCTTTAGATTGACAGGAAGTCGGCAAGGTGACTGTAACTTTGCGCACATCCTCTGCGGTTTCCGGATGTATTCTTGCTGAGCTTTGCAATTAGTCATCGTGAAGTCTGAATCTCTAATATTCCCGATGAAAGTTGATCATACTTAACGTCTGAGTACTACGTAGTTGGATACAAAGTTTGCATGGATTTTGAAAAAATATGTCTTTGTTGTTACCCATGTTTTACGTGTATTTCTCCGATAGACGAGGACATATATATCAAGAGAAACGTTGACGTCATGCAACAAGCGGGTATCCTAAGATCTTAGCCTGTGTTACACAAGCTGTCTCAGCCGGAGGTTAATGACCAGCACCGCCGTCAAACTCAAAGGGGGGCGGCAACTTTAGGGCGGCGGCGCCAGGAGCGCGATCTTAGTCAGGCTACCTAAGCTCGTATCTGTGCCAACTAAACAGGAACTGAGGTGTTTCTGTTGTCAAAACAGGAAACGGCATGTGTCTGTTGTTAAAGCGTCAGTGAGTCAGTTGGGTGCATAGTTGGCATGGATTTTGCAAAATAAAAATATGTTTTGGCTGTTTCACGTGTATTTCTCACGTGTACGTGTATTTTTCCGCTAGAGGTGGACATATATGACGGGAAACATGACATTACACAACATGCGGGTGCCCTAGGAACTGTGCCAACAGGAAATCGGAGGTGTCTCTGTTTTTTTTCAAAACACGAATTGTCGTATATCTGTTTTGAAGCACAGGCTCACGGGAAGAGAACTTTGCGTCAGCAGAATATTATTATTGTGAGTCATTAGGTCAAAGAACTTTTTCGGGCCAAACTTTATTGCAGTGTGTGAGTGAGTGTGGGGGGAACGTATTCAGAACTTCTTTTGCCATCTGGTCCCTCCTATGTCCTTTCTCATCAAATATATGAAGTTGATTACTTAACCAAGTAACAACTAGTATATAGCCAATCAATTAATCAATGACAGCAAAGAAATAAATCAATATACTGATCAAGTAAAGTTTATTGTGCAGCACTTTCGAAGAGTATAAAACATAATAAAAGTGATTTTTTGCCTTGAACTTAGGAATGAGTTCTTCTTGTTGAATAAATCAAAGCAAATAGATACTATCTGGCTTTGAAATTTGCTATAGATGTAGCTATTATTTTAACTTGAGGCAAAAATGTCATCCACTAGCTGCTGAATCAACTTCTGTTCCTCAGAGTCCGTATTTTCTGTCTTTTGCAGTTCTGAAAGAACATTCCTGTTCTCGTCCTTCATTGGCAAAGACCCGGTAGAGAAGGTGGCTTTTGATTCGCTGACAACTTTTCTGCTCTCTTCCCTGATTGGTCGCTTAGCAGCAGTGGGCGTGGTCGGCCGGCTGGTCTGTGTTTCCGCATCTCTCAGTTTGGCTGTCCTGTGTTTATTTGTGTTCTTCAGTGGACGGTCAGGTCGGGGAGATGCAAAACTTGTCTCCTTCTACAAAACAGTCAATGACAACATAACAAGTTAAGTAAGTTAAGTAAGTTAAATGACAAAGTAAGAGAGAAGTTCTACAAACATCACTGAAGGAAACCGATATAAGTCTTTACCAGTTATCTTGTATTTTTGGAACACCCATCTGTTTATTGTTTATTAGTTTGGCTGATACAAGACAGCCAGGGCAGCCCAACTAGCTAGAAGCTATTACTAAGGGCATGCCCTGGGAAAAAAATTTGGTTAAATACATAAATTATGGTCATTAATACATGTATATACAGATTACATAATTATGATACAATAAAATTATTACATACTGTACAATTGGTGCAAATTGAATACTAGTACATGTTTGTGCTGTCTTATACAGAGAACTGGTCTCCAAGGGAGAGCCACACTTTGGCTTTGAATAATGCTAGGGATGGAGCTGTCTGGGTGTCCTGTGGAAGAGAGTTCCACAGTTGGACGGACCTGTAGAAGAAGTTTTTTTGTGTTCTGACACTTTTGGGGGCTAGCGAAGAACACCCATCTGTTGTGTTGTTATTTGTTTTGTTATTTGTTATGACATTTGATAATATTGATTTGTATACTTCTGTGTCAGTGGTGAGACTTAATTTAGCAATTTGTCCACCACTGTGTTTTGTACTCTTTATGTTGTTGAATAAAAAAAACCCTGATATTTCAGGTAACCTTAAAGCGTACATAAAGGCTCGGATTTTTTGTCACTTAGACCCTTCACGCATTCTTTAAGGTATGCTTAAATATCAGATGGATGAAAGTATCGACTTAAGTTACCCTTGTAGCATTTGTGACAGTTTTGGTAGGTCTGGGTCTCCCATTCTTGCCCACCACTCTCCACTGGAAGACTGCACAGTCAGCACCACCTGTTGATAGCAGGTAGCTGTCGTCATACAGGAACCGCACACACGTCACGTGACTGCTGTGTCCTGGGTAGATGTGACCAGCACTCTGAATAAAAAAGGGAAAAAGGTATACCACGGTATCCTAAAATGGAATGACCGGGGATGGAGGTACTGTTTTGGAGGTGTTTGTCTGTGTGTAACATCTACAAATACCTACAGACACAACTTACACAAGCAAACGGTATTTTTGTAGGTATTGGTAGGTATTAGGAGATTTGGTTACCATAGATTGATCTTAAGGTCAGGTTGGCAGTACTATATAGGGAAGACTGAATGTGACATCGTGTTACTACCTTATGTGTACAGCAGGGGAACTTGAACAGGTTGACTTTGCCGAAGTCATCTGATGACGCTAGCATGGTACGGTCATTTGAAGCTGCGCATGCGTTAACGTCAGTTCCATCCGCTCCCTCTGGCCACATCCCTGTCATGTGCACAAAGCGTTGGACGATCAGTTAACCTTTAACCACCAAAGTCATCCTTGTGAGCTTTAAGTGTTTCTAAGATTGGAGGAGTTGACAATTATTTAACACATTTCAGGTCTTTTATTGGTCACTTGACACAAGTTTATATTTGAATACATAGCTGCATATTGTTCCACGGTATATGAATACGTTGTTAACTTACCAAACACGTTATAACCAAAGACGCATGTGTACGTGTTCCAGGTAACGTCAGTCATGGCGGACACGTGGCCGACGTGACGTAGCGTGATGACGTCCCAGTACAGCAGCTCGTAGTCCCCGGATGTGCTCTGGAGGAACCGGCTGTCTGACGACCAGTCCAGGTGTGTGACAAAACTGGAGTGCCCCTCCAGACGGCCTAGTTTCTGTAGATTTTGACAGGTAATGGCTTAAAAAGTCAATTTTTTAATGATACAACATAACATATCTGTAACAGCAAGGATCTAGAGTCAAACATAGAACAATTTGGAAGAATGAGATTGTATGACGTAATTCAATCGGGTATTACACACACAGTCAACCACTTCCTGAATTCCTCCTCATACTGCTCACTTACTCCCACCTGGTGCATGCCGGGTCACCTTCAGACTCTCTGTCAATCAAATAACCAAATATCCACCCACAGTCTGGTGGGCAAGTATTCACACAAATCCACAGACAAACCCATCCAAAACAATACCTCCAATGATGTATGATAGGAAAGCATACAAGTACCTTGTAATCTCTGCCATCGTCATACACAGCATAGATGTAGATGAAGTTGTCGTGGGACCCGACGGCCAACAGTCTCCCGTTCGGGGAGTACACGAGGCAGTCCAACTGTTCAGCACCGTCTCTGCGCTCATAGATGATATCTGAGGTCATAGCATCCAGCACACACCACCTGTAATGTTACATCACACGTCATTGGTCAAGGTGTTTTGTTGTCACATCACCTGTCATTGGTCAAGGTGTTTTGTTGTCACATCACCTGTCATTGGTCAAGGTGTTTGGTGCAACTCAGCTTCATCCCCATCATGATGGTCTTCTGGGCAGCTGGCAACTCCCTGAGAACTAAATTTTTTAGGACGAAAACTGTCCTGATGAGGTTACAGTAAAGTTCTATTGAGTTGTCCTATCTTATGGAAATGCTACATTTACCTAACAAACTGACAGGTGGCTAAATCTAATACAACTGAGCTACTTGTATTCCAAGACAGAAGGCTTACCTTCCAGAAGTAGTTCCGACTGCAATGATTCTTCCAGTAGGGTAGATGTCAGCAGACTGTGCTGCATACTGTGTGCACAAAACACAACAACAACACATCATGACATATGGGTGATCCACTGCTATTTGCAACATGAATATTATAAGATTTTAGACAGTCAGCTTTCTTCCTGAATTCCACTATGTCCAAATTTCTGTTCAGGCACCTGACCACATTCTTCACCCCTTTTCCTATGTCTGACCTTTGACCTCACGTCTTGTCATTTTGCCTATCAATTATCCTCCCACCCCATGTGCTGTCAACCTACTCTGTTTGCTTGAAAAGTTTACAGAAAAATCCACAAACCCACCCAAAACAAAAGTTCTGTACCTGTTTTGAGGAAAAGACACACACAGTAATGGCTTACAAGTTACATGTATCTTACATGGTAATTTAATACCTTTATGGATTTTCTCCACATGGGCTCCCTCTTCATGGCGTTCCAGAGAACCACCTGTTTGGAGTAGTCACACGTCACGAACATGGGCGCAAACGGGTGGGTGGCAAGGCCCCATAGCTCCTCCATATGTCCCTGTCCAACAGACATACAACACTGAACAGTCTGCACCTTCTTTTCTTTCAAAGTTGATTCAGATTTTAAAAAGTAAACATCGACTTTTCCTCAGAATATGATTATAACGTCTTGGAATAGATCTTGAGGACCTTTGTGGTGTAATTAGTTTGTAAACTGACGTACCTCCAGGACAGATGTAAAGTCCCTCCCAATCTCGCCTTTGCAGATCCCGTTCCCAAGCGTCCCGACGAACACCACGTTCTCAGCTGCATGTTTCCCATGATCCCACGCACATATGGACCGTACACCTCCCAATCCCGCGGGAATCTGTAACAGTGAAAGATTTTTAACAAGAAATCAGAGATTTCAGACATTCTGCAAGTATGTAATCCTGAGCCTCCTCTTCCTGAATTTCCACATGTTAAATTCTGCTGGCTCCCTGAATTTCAGACGTCATTCTGCCTGTCAATCTACCACACCCACATGCTGTCAACCTACCCTGTCTAGACAAACAGATAGACAAACCCAAATGGCAGCACCCCAAAACAACATGTCCATACCCATCAGTAATTATCCCAGTGACAGTCTTGAGATAATCCTCCCTTGGGAATGTTGTCATACAGTGGAATTTTTCATTCAATCAAAGTTGGACAGGCACAATATGCTGTTACAGATACTCAATTGAAATTTACTCAGTTACTCATGGAAATGGGGGTCAATCTTTTTTTAAATCAAAGATGTATTGTGGTTTGGTTTCAGTACCTGGCTGACTTTGAGCGGTGCCTGCAGAGCACCGTCCCATAAGACCACTCTCTTGTCGCTCCCTCCTGACACCAGTGCCAGGCCTCCTCTCAGTGTGTGCAGCGCCAACACCCCGCCCTTGTGAGCACCCATTATAGCATGGCTGATACGGTTTGTATCTGAAAGGTAAGTCGCAAAGTTAAACAAAAAATCAGAGATTCTCAAATTCCTGGAAGATTGGGTTTTCATGACCTCTTGGAAAGGTAACCATATCAGAAATGTGGAGGGGATTGCATGGTATAATTCAATCAGGTTTTATGCCACTTCCTGAAGGCTGAGTGCTGGGTCACCTTCAGAATGACCTCCCTAGCAATCAACTGTCAAAATCACTTCCCACCCAGGATTATCACAGACAGAGACAACCCACAAGTCAGCCATCCAAAAAATTATACTACCGTACCTGGGAGTAATTGCTCTGGTTTGGCCTAATGAGGTACTTGAGAAAATTTGAGGAAACATTGGCTATTCATGGTTTCGAGCTCAACAACTGACAACCCACAACAAAAGGTGCTGTTACCTTTCTTCCATAGAAGGATGTTGCCTTTTGAGTCACCTGTGACGACGTCACCCGTATGTGTGAATGCAATACAATGTACAAACTTGGCCTTCAGGTCCTGTGTGATAAAACCATATTTCAATCAATTATCAGTGTGAATTAAAAAGAGAAAAAGAAATAAACATTGTTGTTAAAGGCAAAGACACTATTTAGCTACAAAGAATTTGTGTAAAAAAGTTTTGGAGACACCAATGATGTTTAATTAATGCACATGATAGAAAATATATGACGAAACATACGTCAAATATGCCGTTCTTCTTGTTGAAGACGCCATCTTTTCTCAGGTGCCAAAAAGCCAGGTGGAATTTCCCAGCTGTAACCAGCTGCCTGCTGTCTACCGGGTTGAACGCAGCCACATGCAAAGGCTCTGTTGTTGCCTGATGAAAAAGAACATTTTTAGCCCAAATGTTTTTTCTTTTTTTGTGCGAGATGGATTTACACTGTCGTTAAGTTGTATCCACTTAATCAAAATATGTGGTTGGATGTTGTCATGGCAGCGATACAAACACAAATTTGCAAATTAAATTACTGTAGATGTCCAAACTACCGTAATGTCATGCAGTCACAAACAATACAAATTCCCCTAATCTTTCACTTTTTGTCCAAAGAAGCATAGAAGGCCTGGCCATGGGCCGTACTGATATTATATCTATTGTTTTCCTTTGATCTTTTGAATCATACTTCGTGACATTTGGGGTAACAGTCAAAGGAGAAAAGGTGGCTGCAGGTTTGAAATGTCAGACTGCCTTAGGGAACAGATCGTATCTCGGCAACTGTTACAACCCACACTTATCTTAATAGGTTAGGGGGAAAAGTAGAGGATCACACAAAAGACAACCTATTTTAGGACTTTTGTTTACACTAGAACACAAATTGTAATGTTATGCAAGCAACAGTCTAAAAAATGTTACACAACGAACAGTGAGACTCAAATGGCAAGAATCTTACTTGCCACAGAATGATTTCATACACTAGTTCAAGGTCCGAAAAAGGTCCCAGAAAAGGTTATCTCATTTCTTGTCTTCAATTTCCTGCTATATGTGTGGCTGTAATGAAGGCCTTATGGGAGCGGCCGGTGGGAAAATCATTTCATAGGCAGAAACAGAATTTCAAAGAAATTCACAATTATAATGAATATATCAAGAAAGTCTGAACTCTAAAAATATTTTATGGAGGTATGAAATCTGTGACTTCTTAATTGCAGATTATACCTGGCTTCGGGTATAAAAGATCTCTTATTCTGTACCTTTGCCTCCCCCAACATGGTGTTGTTTTTCCAGTCCCACATCCGCAGCATATGGCCACTGCCGGATTCATCTACCACTGCTAACTTTGCACCGCCATCCTGAAAAAATGATTTTAGCTAATGTCAATATATGGCTATCCAGACTACAAACAAGTAAACCATCAATTTGGGTAAAGGAGAATAGCTGCTATCTACGTTACAAAATGTCACAATGGATCTTTTATAAGTATGTACATGCATATGCACAAAGAGAATATTAATTTCGTGTCATGCATTTATGCTACTTTGAAGAAAAGACGTCACGGTGGCTTACAGCGACAGAAAATGAAACAGCACAGACTCCCAGTCTCAGCTTCCCGGCTCCGATGACTTGTAAGGTGTGTAGTGTTCTGGAGTCCCAGATGCGAATGTGAGGCTGAGGAAATTAAAGAACAAATTTAGATTTAATCCTGTAAGTCTAGACTATTAAGATTAAATTGCTCTGCCAGTGTCCTTAAATTGCAGACTAGAACTATGACTAGATTGTACAATATCACAAGCAAGACATTGCCCAGCAAATGAGATATATGTTATACATATTCTGGGACTTTGGACCTAACTTCCTGTAACTTTTAAGTGTCCCTAGCATGTGCAAATAACTACAGAAACATAAGCAAACCCACAGACATAAACAAAATCTCCATTCACGGAGGTAACTAAATGAAGGCACAGACATATAATCCATATCGTACCTACCTTGTACCAGTTATTTTCATCAGCATTCTTATAGTAAGGATCAAATCTCTCATAGCAAGGAAGCTGAAAAATAAACACATCCAGTATTGGTCAGCCAGAACCTAACATTGTCATTAAAGAATATTGAAGTGTCTATTAGATACAGCCCTATGTCATCAAGCAAACTGATAAATTATAATCATGCATCTTTTAAGCCTTTGAAAAAAATTCCACCATCATAAAGGAAAGAAAATTTCAGACCTCTTCACTTCTGTCGTGGCCTCCGACTTGTCCGCTGGCCACTAAAACTCTGTCTGGATGGACGGATATGCTGCCAGAAAAATAATCAAAGTCAGTCTATTCATAACTGAGTACAAAAGAGTACCAACAGATTCAATTTAGCCATACTGCACTTTAAGAGTGCTTAAAGATTTGATTTCATGCATGCAGTAGGTGTTAAATACACTTACCATTTGATGTCGTCATTATGACCGAGATAGTGTCTCTGTGTGTGTCTCTTTGGGTCATAGATGACCACAATAGCCGCTATGAAGTACACCACTTCCCCTGAGGCCAGCTGGTACAGGTTGGCTCGGCAGTCTCTCCCTCGGTAGCCATAACTGTCACAGCCTCAGGTCAAGGAATACACCAATCCTCACTGTCCATGCATTTAGCAGTTGGACCATTTATATATATATAGCATAACAATTAGCGGATCGGCCAATAACAGAGTGGCAGCATGTCCTTGAAATATTTTCATTTTAAAATTTATGTTTTCTTTTTGCATTTCAGAAATCTACATTTTGACGGAAGTGCACAGGACTATGGAAAAGCACTGATTTGATCATAAATTAATCTTTCCATTCAAAAACCTCTATTGAACTTATGATATCACATTTACAAGTTGTATACTATCATTTGAAATTTTGGTCAGGTGCATCTTTGCATCAATGCATTTCTCTGACATTGCTTCATGCTCCTAATGGCCTGAAATTCACCATCATGATCAGAGTACCTTGAATCCTATTGGACGACAGTTTTGTCCCATAGTTTATCATTGGTCAAAAGGATACACCCACTCCAGCTGTAGCTGTTCTCTGGGTGGCTTGGACTCCCTGGACAGGTCCACTTGACCCGCTTCTTGGGGGGCGATCATGGCGATGGGCCTACCTTTCAGGTACATTCGCACCATACCAGGTCCCACTGGAAGAACAGGACAACTATTAATGTTTAAAGATTACCATAAGGAGCTATACTTTCACCTGCCATGGAATATTTATAGATTTTTATGAATTACTAGACAAAGTACTTGTTTTATTTTCTATTACGAGTTTCTGGCTGATTCCGAGGATGCATTTTTCCATTGACTCCCATAGGGGAACAAACATGCATTAACAGGAACTTGAAGACAGGAAATGAGATAGCCTTTTCCAGGACCTTTGACCTACATGTAACTTCCTGTTAGTGTCTCCTAATGTCCATAGTGTGTGGAAATAACTACGGAAATCCAGGAAAAATCTCCCACAAGGACAAAACCTCCCTACGGAGGTAAAAACAAGTACAATCAGGATGAGAGTCGACTATCATCAGTTCAAACATGTGGATGACACAGATTCAAACAGGTGGTTGACACGTGTGTTTTGTGCTATATCTGTCTCTGTGGATGTGTGGTATCATTTGTTACCAACTGGACAATTCATTTCTGTAGGACATAATTGGGTCAACATGTTGAGTAACCAGTCATTTATTCATTCATGTAGTACTATTGTCATCGTGAGATTTCCATGTACTGAACGTTAAGCTTCGTCTTAATGTGATGAATAGAAATATGAAAATAATCTTAAATGGTTTTGTTGTTTGAGGAACTAAAAGAATATGCAGGGTTGGACCACACCCAGTCATTACGCATATACTGTGCATTGTTCCTGTGGGTTGCTGAGAGACTGGTCATTATGTTCATTAGTGTGATTACACCATTTAGCTCATCAAAGGAGGGAAGACGACACTTGCTTTATGTCCGGTCGGTTTCTTTGACGTCACCATGATGCCAGAATTCCCTAGCTCGTGGGAGCATACAGTACTGTCAAAATTGGATTTGTGTATGAAAACTTGGTTTCAATAAGGAATTTATAGAATTCTAGTCTTCTATAACCTCCTTGGTTTGAATAGTAGAAAATAATGAAAGATGTGAAGGTATGGTTTAAAAGACATCAAAATTCTCAACAAAATGTACAAGAAGGTGTTGTTATTCTGTGTAATTTGTTGAGCGATCTGTAAAATGTTTGGTCATTCAGCAGTCACTTAGCACTCAGAGTCTCTTGTTGGATGGAAGTGTTCTGACCCTGACTATAGAGTCTGATTACTGTAATTTACTTTTCACAACTTCCTCAAGACATAGACAAGATAATGTCTTCGTCTGCAAGACTGCTAAGCCCTTGACATGTGCCCCTGCTTGATATAACTGTCAAGATGAGGCCCGAACCTAAAATTATGTCCCCTATTATTAGGCAACTGAATAGAGCTTAAATTAGAATATCCCTAACCTACTAACACTGATGCCAAGTCATGTCTAGGACTGTCGCCACTGGGTTTTTTTAAAGGAAAATATCAAGATGTTTTGACGACAGAGATGGAAAGGTTTAAGCCCTATAGATTGACTTGTTTTGTAAAGTGACTACATGTGCTTAGGGAATATCAATCTGACATTAAATAGTCATGAAGCCATTAAAAGCTATGAATATTTAATGTGTAAACAAAGGGCGAACGTTAGGTAAGGGTGCAGTAAGGATCCCGTCACATATGTTGTAGTACTCTCCAAGCAGTCTCATGTTTAGACTAAGTACAAATGAGGGCTTATTTTTGACGCATGTTAGGCTATTTTATTGGGCTTTCTTTTTGTATACTGCCCCGCCAATTTGACACTGTTTTGCCAATTTGATATTCTTTTGTAGTCTCCAATGTGACAGTGCAAATTTTCAGCTGAAAAATATGCTCCACTCTTTGGTGCTTTTGAAATTCGTGGACCTTCGCTGGCAGGGATGATTCTAATGTCCCCCCAAAAATGAAGAAATATATGAACCTGGGTTTTTCAAATAGCGAGGAATGCTGTGCACGCTTATTATTTTTAAACATATAAGATTTAACCAAGGAAACGTCAACCAAATAACAAATTTGGCCCTTGGGACAAATCCACTAAAAGGGGGCACGAGGGATATTTTGAGATCTAGAGTTGTCCTTGTTTGGAGTCGATAGTGTAAAACAGTGATTCAGACAGTATTGGCTAAATTCTACAGTCCAAATTGCTGATGCTTTGTTTTTTTTCTTTTGTTGATAAAACTGTATGTTGCCAAAAATAGCTGTGTTGTGCTTAGTTTATCCATTAAGCTTAAATATTGTAGGGAGATTATATCTTAACAATGGTGGCAACAGTGAGGGCCGGGATGGGGGTTGTCCCTTTGCAAATCTTTTGTTGTTTTATTCTCACGGCCTTGCAATATGATATATATACGTTGTGCCAAGAACAAACAGTATGTCCTTGAAGTTAACGACATTAAGTTTCTTCTGCTTGGTTGGAATTCAGGTCTTAGCCTTGGTAACTAGAGCGTTAAAACATGAGTGATTCAAGGTTTTAGGGCTATGACATATGTCCTTTTTTCTTGTAATTGTATGGGGACAAAATATTCCCAATTAATGTTTTACTGCAATTTCTTGCCATAATTTTTTGGGGGGTGGACATTGGTTTGGCATACATGATGCTGATCAGAAGCTCTTTCATGGATGATTTTTTAATGATTCATTTTACAGGGGTGGGAGATTCGTTCTTCTTTCGCGGCGTTTTTATCGGACTTTCTTTTTTGTATTGAACGGTCTTTTTTGCTAGGCAAATGGATACTACATGTACAATGGTACTTTCTTGTCATACTGTCTTGCACTCACCAAAAGATCTCCTTGGAGATAACGTGCATATGCACCGCCTCACCAACAACAGTAGTCTGGTAACAACCCGAAGTTTGCTTTGTCTTGCTTTATGCACACAGTAAATATTGACGGTCTCTTGCAAGTACAGCACGGTCTATGGACAGCAAACAAGTTCACGTACTAAAATAATGATTCTCAGATCTTTCGCATGGATTCGTATACTTTCTTCTATCAGAGGTAAAGATATAGAAATGGGATAAATACACTTGCTTTACGGGACAGATGATGCGATCGGATATAACGTTAAGTTCAATATGAGTTAATCGGGAAGAAACGTCATAACTTACTCCCCGGTCCCTTCCATGGCCGGTCAGGGCTCTTCGATCGAGCCGTTGAAGAGCCTGACTCGGAGGACGAGCCCGGGTGCCCGTAGTCCGGTGGGGCGGACCGTGTGCCGTCTCTGGGCGGCGACCTGGCGCGACTGGCCCCGCGCCGCTTGGCCGGAGAAGTCGATCTCCGCCGCCGACCCCGTCTCTGTTCCATGGACGCGTTTCCCGAAGATCCTACTACTCGTAACGTTGTGTGTTTTCTTGGTGTTTACAACGTCAAGCAAATAAACGGCTGTAACTCGAACCCTTCACAAAGCACGTTCATTCCTTCCAGACACCGATGCAGTCGGTATGGGAAATGGTGTTGTGTTGCTGGTAGAAACGTTCTCTGTATCACATAGCAACGGTGATCCGCATGTGGGCGGGCCCGAATAACATTGTACCTAACCTTCACTAAAATCCAGCCCTCCAGCGATGTTTACATAGCACGATACCTCACTTGAAGTGAACCTACATGCTACATTGCTCATCCACAAGTGCGGGACACCAGTAATGTACAATGCAGGTGTTTCATGTGTACAAGGAGGGCGACAAAAGGACGTCCTTCCTCAAGCAATTTTCTCAGCCGTTTTTCAACCATTCTTATTACAGATCGTTATCAGATATTTCGTTTAAAATTATTTGGGTAGCAGAATAAAAACAACAAGATTAGATTGTGCGTATTATTTGGTAATATCGGTGGCGTCTAGTGTTTATTGTTGTTTTGCTGCCTTCCTCGGCTCCATGTGACGACCGGACAATAACGCCGTTACCATGACAACAAGCCCCGGGGCTATCCTCTCATTTACCAGGGATATGTCTACACGTGATTGTCCACGAGATCGTCTTGTCTTGTTTTGCAAAACAAAGACTACCGAAGGATCTTTAAGCTTGTGCTATAGAGATGGCAATACGAATATAGTTTCCACATACACACATTTCTATGTGTCTGTGCATGTATGCAAGCGCATATTTGTAAAGTGCCTTTCCCAAGGGCACAAGATCGGTGGCATGGCAGGGTTCGAACCCGGGACCTCTTGGTTCCAAGTCGAACACTCTACCGTCATGACAGACGGCCCCACAATTTGCTGATTAACATTACAGTGCTTATAAGTCATTGTTGATTGGCTGGCTTAAATGAAATTTGCAAGTTTCGTTAATGAGTTGGCCATATTCCCACAATGCATGTCTTGAGGTCTTTTTTTTTATTTTCGAAGAAAATAAGTATGAAAAATGGTGAAATTTCGATCTTGTCGAGATAGGACCAAAGGAAGAAGTTTGCAGACATTCTCTAGCTATGCACCATAAGTGACCAGCTTATGGAAGCTTTTCTTCCTGAGAAGGAAAATGTGGAGTGTCTATAAAACCACAAACGCTGTGAACACGGGAAGGCCGGGATATATACAGATTTGTTTCACGATGTATGTTTGTAAACCAGCGCGTACGCAAACCCCACAGAAATTGCCCACCGGTATGGCGGGAGGATTGTAACCATTGAACACCAGAGACTTGCTGTGTGAGGCGCTATGCATGTAATCGCTGGGCTTCCCACAGGCACCAAGTCCGAAACACGTGGGGCGAGCGTCGTCATTTTTGATGGGGGGTTTCTTCCCCTGATAAGATGGAGGCGGTCCGGCGTGGCTGGGAGTAAATGAACAAAGAAACAAACAAAGAAACAACAAAACTAGGCCGTTTTGCACCCCTGTTTGAAAGTCACAGTTGGTACGTTCCGCTTCAGTTCAGTTGCCAGTTGTCACGTCGTGCGTGGGGGGTTCCGATACTTTTTTTTTTTCAACTTTTGCTGAGAATTCAAGTTACGCTCCTTCTTCAGGAGTTTCTTGTTTTAATGTGTGCAGCAACCGCAGGGAAGTTTCTGCGGTGAATTCGTGCCGTTTTCTGGATGTTTTGAGGAGAAAATGCGGGTTTCCTGACCAGATGAATTTTGAACGGGAGAACTACATGGCGAGACTGGAAGTTGGCCGCACGGAGACTCGCTCATACAAGGTAAAACAACGACTTTTACTTCGGAATAACTTTCCAACGACTAGTTAGAGCATGGCAAGCTATGGCCTGTAAAGTTTATTAGTAATTTCACCGTGTAATTCGTCGAATACTGGTGGTGGGGGATTTCGAGTTGAGAGCGCTCTAATCCTATACTAAGCTAAGAGATTTTCTGCCTTATTCTTGTTGAATATTTGAATATTTATTCTTCATTGTGTGTGTGTGTGAACCATGTTACATGTACTTCGCATGTTTCGTTAAAAACATGAAATATTAGTTGATATATGTGCAAGAAGAAGGATTTCTTTGTCGCCACGTGGTGTTTGCCCCACCTGTTGGAATGTTCCGCGCACGTGGCCTTAATTAAATCGTTCAGTTTTCCCGCCAAAATGCGGCGTGGTCCGCAGTGCTTCCACTTAGTGTTGAACAGTAAGGTGTGGATTTAGCATTGCGGATTTCAGGGGCGTTTTTCATAGCTTTGGAAATAGAAGTTGACGTTTGTTTCTGTGCAAATCTAGGGTCGAGAGAAGCTGTAGGCGAAATTGACGAACGGTTGGCCGGCGTGGTGTTGTCGAGAGAAGCTGTAGGCGAAATTGACGAACGGTCGGCCGGCGTGGTGTTGTCGAGAGAAGCTGTAGGCGAAATTGACGAACGGTCGGCCGGCGTGGTGTTGTCGAGAGAAGCTGTAGGCGAAATTGACGAACGGTCGGCATACAATTTAAGGTAAAACGACTTTTTCTTCAAAATAACTTTAAAACGACTACTTGGGGCATGGCAAGCTATGGCCTGTAAAGTTTATTAGTAATTTCACCGTGTAATTCGTCGAATACTGGGCGGAAATTTCGAGTTGAGGGCGGGCTAATATGAGTTCATTTCTGCCTTGCCTTCTTGAATATGCAGTCTTTGTTGTGTCTGTGTGAATCATATTGCATGTACTTAACGTTTTTCGTTAAAAAAACATTTGTGTAGGAAAAAGTATCCCTTTGTTTGCCGCCACGTGGTGTTTGCCCCACCTGTTGGAATGCTAAATTATGGTGACTCTGTTCCTTGTCATTAGTCAAATATAATTGGGTGTAAATTTCGAGTTAATGGGAGCTAATGTAAGAGTTATTTCTGGCTTGTCTAATATAAGTTATTTCTGGCTTGTGTACTGCATATTTACTCTTTATTGTGGTGCATGAACCATGTTACAGATTGTACAGGTAGAGTGCAGTTTCTTTCCGAGAAGACACCTTGTGTAACAGTTAAGTTGTTCTTGTCAAAACCAGGTGATGCAGAAAAGAGTGGAGTTTCTTCCCAAGAAGACGTCTTGTGTAAAAGTTAACAAAGTTCTTCTTCTTCTTAGTTCCTCTAACAACCCCGTAAGGGGTATCGTTGAGGGGGGGGGAGGTGCGTGGACCTCACGGTAGGGAGGCCCGAAAGGCCTCCACAGATTGCCTGTATGGCCTGGGCAGGTAAACTGTTCCACTCTCGTATCGAGCGTGGGAAAAATGAGAATTTGAAACAGTCTTTCGTTGCAGGGATAATATTGTATCTCTAAGTTGTTCATGACCAGACCATGCAGGTGATGTGGATAGTAGAGACTTTCTCCCAGGAAGATGTCTTGTGTAGCAGTTAAGTTGTTGTTGTCCAGACCAGGTGATGCAGAGAGTGGAGAGGTTCTTCCCAAGAAGATGTCTTGTGTAAGAGTTAAGTTGTTGTCTAGATCAGGTGATGCAGAGAAGAGAGCAGAGTTTCTTTCTGAGAAGACGTGTTGTGTAACCCGAGAGCCAGACTAGGCATGGGCTGTTGAAGCTGTACGCCTGCCTATCTGAATTACCGTTACGGGGAGTTGAGCCCCAGGGGAGTTGGCCAGCCCTTTGGGCCCAACTCCTCCGTACTGGAATTTAGATTGGCGAACTGCTTTAGTCTATCGAAGGGAACAGGCTAATGGCCCAAACCTAGTCTGGCTGCCAGGGTAGGCATCACCTTGTCTGGATTGGAACAACTGAACTGAAAGTTCTTGCCCAAAACAGGTGATGCTAAGACTTTTTCCCCCCAGGAGACAGACATCTTGTTTAAAAGTTTAATAACTTTTTGCCCAAACCAGGTGATGCAGAGAAGAATTCAGAGTTTCTTCCTGAGAAGACGTCTAATTGTAACAGTTCAGTTGTTGATGTTGAGGGAGTTGGTTGCTGACATGTTTTGTATGACACTTATTTTTTCTGTCCATGTATTATGGTGAATTTTGAGGGTAAGCTGTCTGATACAACATCACTGTTGACCCAGCCTCTTGTCCAGGGCATTAGTGATTCAGAGAAGAGTGAAGAGCTTCTTGTCAAGAAGTCCTGGAAGTTAAGTTGTTCCTGTACAGATACTTGTTCTAGTTAGTTTTGGTTGTCAAGTTGATTCCCTATGGAGAAATTATGTAAAGATGTCTACAATCAACTCCTGAATCAATCTCTGGCTAGATTTTGTGCTTGACATGTAGATTTGTGAATCTGGTAACATGTTTAAGAGGGGGAGTGATATTCTTGAAACTTTTACTGCTTTTTCTTACACCTTCTCTTGTCTTGTTGCAGGCATGCAGCTGTCCAACATGGCATCATTGCTGACACCAGCCTCCTGTCCAGACATGAGCAGATGGGAGTTTATTCCTGGGCAGCTAAGTTATGTACTGATTATATCTTCTTGTGATGTTTGCTTTTCAAAGTTGATTGTTGGCCAATAAGTCTGCTGTTTAAGATACTTTTAATTACTGTCGATATTTTACCTTCCATTCCATGCTTTTGGTGTGTAGATTTATGAACCTGCTTAAAGCAACATATACTTAGTAATGTTGTTTTTCATATATTTTTCTCCGCAAACCATTTCCTAGTTTTTTTGAGACTATCAAATTGAATAAATTGTGAAACATTTTGTAGGAAACAAATTAGCAAACTGGTAACTTGTCCAGTTCTTTCATGTAGAATTCACAGTCTGTTATCTGAACTAACAAATCTTGGCATTGCACCCTCGTTTCTCCTCTAACATATATTCTACATGAAAGAACAGACTTACACATGGTGAAATGTATTAAATTTTGAATAATACTGGATTCGTTTGGATTATCAGGGATGAGGGATTTTGTCGTTGGTTGTTTCGGATAGATAGGAAGACGTGTTCAACTTTTAAGTTGTTCATGTAAGGATTACATCTTCTGATTGTTGTTCTTCAAAGTTGATCGCAGTTAGCCGTAATGCTTGTTTGGTAGTTGATTGTGGTGCACTGTGCAGTAAATTGCTAATGGATTGTGAAAAAGAGTGGAAGATTGATTTTTGTTGAAATTTGTTCGCAATGACAGAATAAGAAGTCCAAATTGCATGCTGTATTTTTGTCACTGGTAGACATTTTTCTCTCAGTGCCTTTCCTTACAACTTATGTCTCACTTTGTTATGGCATGTATCAAATATGATTTATGTAACAAGCTATTTAGTAATGCATGTATCGAATCAAGTACAACAGATTTCAAGAGTCTCGATGTTGGAGACAGATTTTAATATATCTTTACATGTAATGGTACCCACAATGCAAAAATAGGTAGATATAAAGGACTGCTTTGTTATCAGAAAAAATACTGAAACTTGCGATTAGAACACTCGATTGTAAGACTTTATCAAAGACTTGTTCTAGCCCTTATTGTTTGAGTAATTAAGATATGTTAGGTTTTATTCGACATTAGGTCTTATTCAATACATGTATTGTTTGTTACTTTCTTTATGTAGTTTGCGACACATTGTACGATGTGCCATTGTCGTGCAATAAAGTTATTCAATCTGTCTTTATGTTGCAGACAGCTGTCCAACACGGCATAGCTGCGTGTGCTGACTCCAGCCTCCTGTCCAGACCAGGTGATGCAGTCAGAAGAGTTTCTTCTCGAGAAGACGTCTTGTATTAAAGTTAAGTTACAAATTTGATCTTCTTCTGATTTTGTACTTCAAAGTTGGGCCACAGCAAGTAATTTTTATGGATGACATCAGCGCGTGCATTGATTTTCTTCTGATTTTGGAGAAATTTTGTTGCCCTCTGACAGTAGACAGTATGCCGAAAATGTGTAAATATGTCTCTTGCCATGCTGGAACTTGGATGACAGATAATTTTTTTTGTCCTTTACTTTTGTCCCAGTGTTGTATTTCATTCTTTTATATGTGATGTTTCCGCTGAATAAAAAAATATCTTGTTTAACAAGGTTTATGATCTTTGAAATTTCAAAATAGAAATCTTTTTTTTTGGCCTGCCTTGTTTTGTTTTTGCCCTAACGTATTAGATTTGGAGTATGTGGAGGACGTTACCCATAAAATTTACTTGCTGTGGCCTTGAGTAGATCTATAATATATGCCAAAATTCTCTTGATAATTTCAATAAACTTAAACTCTCTACTTATAATTCTGAATGCCTGCAGTGTAGATTAATGAATTTGATACATGGAAGGTTATTTGTACTATTGCTTGATTGTTCCTTGTTGTATCCTGTCATAAGTAAATATAAACTACTGGACTACTATGTTGAACTACTACTAGTATGTTGAATTCATGTCTCCTATCATAGCATTTGGGTGCCTAATAGGCCTGTTCTTATCTTTTTTGGCACTGTTGCTTCATATGTTGCCGAAAAAAAAATCTGAGAAGTAACAGATTACCGGTAAATTGGTGTGGTCGTAGTAATGTGTTTTGATGTAGTTTGTCTCAGAATGTTTTGTAGCTTTGTATTGCAGCCACATTGTTCAAAGTTTTGTTTAAAAGAAAGTTCAGTTCAGAAAAAAACAAGAAACTAAAGTGACTGTCATGTCTTCAGATATCTTTGGTATCAACCAAGGATGGTTTGATTAAAAGTACAGTTAGGACATCACTTGAAACCTTTAAACGACTCTGGTGTGAAATAGCCAGCTGTGCCGCGTGCCTGTGAAGTTGGTGTGTTACACCGTAGCATGGTTATACCGGCTATACTGATACCGATTATTACGTCGAGTTGTTTCATGCAGAATTCACAGTCTGTACCTGCGCTTACACTTAGTTCCACTTAAATTGCACTCTTATTACCTCCGGGGGAGGAGACATCCTTCCGCGGAAGGGTTTTGTGAGAGATTTAGATTTTCATGTTCGCAGCTGTTTCTCGCGTTTGGGTGGACGGATTCGTTTGAGACTCGGTATATGTTTTGCTATTGGGCTGCAGATAATGCACGTTCTTTTGTTTTTATTGCATATGTGTTTTCGGGCGTGAAAATGGTGCATTTTGGTGGCCCCAGAACACCCCTTTGAGCGTGAAAGTGGTCGCGACCGTTGACCTTTGGCGTGTATTAAGTATTGTCGGTCTCGTCCACGAAGGTGACCCCTCGCACAGAGGGGTGTTCGGTCTCGATAAATTCTTTGTTTAAAACCCTAGTCCTGCGGCGAGCAACAATTGTTGTTGTAAACAACATATAAAAATATACAATAAAAAGCCCGGAGGTATAAAATCTCATCAGATTTTACTTGTGTTTATACTGTAACAGATTACACAGAACATTTGAGACCACTAAGCTAAGAGCTGTTTCTAACATACAAAAATTCTTGGAAGACATCTGCCATCTTTACTGACCCAGAATCCCTCCTGAGGGATGCTGCCCCTCCCTCCAGGTGAGCCAGGCCAGAGCCTGACGCTGATGGGTAAGCAGGCTCACACGGAGGCAGGCTGGATCTTCCACTTCAGCATCTGGGGGTGGACAGGATTCCAGAGACCTGCAACATTGACAAATAAAGTAAATTTAACTTTATCTAATGTCAGCATAGCAGCTAAACTTTGTGGGCCAAGCTATTCTATTATGAATACGGCAGTCTGAGATCCTTGTTGGCAGTTAGTTCTGTCAGAGTCTGAAAATTTGAAGGCATCAAATTCATGCAGCAACCTATATGACGAATGCGATAATCGCACCCAAAGTCACCCTGGCGCAGGGGACAATGTCTTACTTGTGCAGCCTCTCAATTGCCTCTGATGTCACTCCTGCCACCTGCTGCAGCCTGGTGGCCGTCATCCTGCCCCCATACAGGGTCTGCCCCTGGGGGTGGGGGGCATACATCTGCTGTAAGACGTGGGCAGGGAGGGGCTGTGCGTGGGTGGGGAGGACACGCCTGTCCCCCTGGGGTTGGTGCTTACTGGGCTGCTGCTGACGACCATGGCCTCCTGAAGCACCTGTGAAAACAGACCACATAACTGATGAATGCTCAAAGTTATTTCAGCTTGTCTGCATCACCCTTGGATGATAAAACTTGGATCTATCTTAGACCAAGGAGCTTATCTTTGACTACTTCTTGTCTAATTTTACACTACTTCCCTTTATACAAGTACAGATGTTAACCCCTCCTCCACACAGATATGTAAGTATGAACATGAACTCACCTTGAGGTTGACTTTGACTGGCACCAAGATCAATGGATTTGATAGCTTTCTCGAGGTCCTCCATCTGTGTCATCAGCTTCTTCCCTCCGTCAGGAAGGACAGACAGCTGGACCTTCTTCACCAAGTCCTGAGGAAAAAAGAAAGAAATTGGGACATCTGGGAATTTTGCAACGTCAGCATCTTGAATTCCCCCACGTCGACCACTAATTCCTGTTGGCTCCCATCCAGATTCCGTGACCTTAACCTTTGCTGACCTTTTGGCCACTTTTGGGCTGTCAATCTTATGATACACAAACCCACAGTTCCACACCTGAAAGTCACAATAAACTTCTCCCCCCTTATCCTTTTTTCTGACAGCTTTTAGATGCTTACAGTTTAGCTAAGTCTCATTTGCAGAGGTTTGTACTCCTGCATGCTTTCTCTAGTTTCCACTGTGTGATTTGCTTACTTCCTTCTTCCGTAACTGCTCCACCAGATCCGCCCGCAACGCTGCATGACCTCTGGACATCACCTGGCTTGCTGGCTGGAACCCTGGGAAGGCTGTGATTGGCTGTTGCTTCTTATGACCTGCTGTGATTGGTTGATTGGTCTCGTTCCCATCTCGGACTAACTGTTTTGGTTTTACAGCTTCAGCCTTGACTGGCTGCTTCTGCATTCCACCCTGTTTTACCTGTGTGTTGGCACTTTGTGTACCTCTAACTTCAGCATCTTCATCATTGTCAGAAAGTACAATAACTTCATCCTCTTTGCCTTGAGGTTGTTTTGAGCTGCCTATGCCCTTCACTGTCTCACCTGCCTTTTTTCCTGTCTTCACATCTACCCCACTAGCCTCCGTGTCACCTTTCTGTGATTTTTGGTTATGTTCTGCAGGAAATGTTTTTCCTCCTTCTCCTCTCTGAGACTTTGATCCATCATCTCTGACAGCAGCCCCCCTCAGAGACTCATCCCTCCCAGGATCAACTTGTTTACCACTATCATAGATCTTGTTGTCATCTACATATTTCATCAAGCTCTCTTTTTCCACTTTCTTGTCAAAGACATCAAACTTCTTTCCAGACGATGCAACCACCTGTCCTTCTTTGTTAGCTTCCTTGAAGAATGGATTTTTCGAAGGCTGGTATGGAGCAGCATCCTTGTATTCTTCAGAATCAGATGAATCACTGTCTGACGTTGTTTCTGGAGGGATAGTGTAAAGAATTTTTCCACACCAACCTTTTCCCTTGGTGGCATCCTTTGTAACTTGACATCTATAACACAACCTGAAGGAAAAAGCAGAAACTTATATGAAGATATCATGTCATAAAAATCAACTTATCGTTCTTGGCATAAGGGAGGCGGGAGAAGGCTCCAAGCATCCCCCCCTTTGCCCACAAATTTAATGTTGATTCTATAAAATTATGCTGAAGAATTAATCAGAATCTTACCATGATCAATTTTGACCAAAGAAGGCCATTAATATTAGATGCTGAAGAAAAATAAATGACAATAGCTGCACATTTCTCACCACAACTGGTTCTCCTTGTCTCTGTAAATCTTCTGGAGCTCTATGGTCTTCCCAGCATGCTTCAGGCAACCAGAGGGAGGGGGGCTGGGTAATAACAAGGAAGGGAAGACACACATTTGTCACAAGGACATCTCCACTCAATCTACATGATTCATGTACTTACTAATTACAAATACGAACTTAGCAAGGAATAGACATGTGATTCCAAAATTGACATGCTGTAATTCCAATTAAGTATTGTAGGGAACAACATTGCAGTTTTTCACCCCCTCTTCATCACACGAATAAAAAGGATTGTGCATATTCTACAACTGAGGGTACAGTACTAGTACATAACAAAAATCCAGCCCCTCTCCTGTTCCTTAAACCGCTTTCTTCAAATGCAACAAATGTATCATTACTCTATACTCACTCTAGACCTCCTTACTATCCAAAGGTAAAAACTTACAATATGCCACTGACTCACCTGGCAGGTGTGGTGAAACCACATGACTGGGGCATCTGAGAACACATGTAGAAACTCTTCCCCTTATTTGGACCCTCCCTGACGCCAGTCTTCAGCATACACGGCCTGCCTGGAATGAGGGAGTCATGTAGGATGAAAAGCTATGAAAATAGCTATATCTTGACATGAGCTATATAGTTTTGGTATGAACAGAACAGTGCATGAAGTATTTACATTTTTAACATATCCTTTGCAATGTGCTTATTACCTCCGGGGGAGGAGACATCCTTCCGCGGAAGGGTTTTGTGAGAGATTTAGATTTTCATGTTCGCAGCTGTTTCTCGCGTTTGGGTGGACGGATTCGTTTGAGACTCGGTATATGTTTTGCTATTGGGCTGCAGATAATGCACGTTCTTTTGTTTTTATTGCATATGTGTTTTCGGGCGTGAAAATGGTGCATTTTGGTGGCCCCAGAACACCCCTTTGAGCGTGAAAGTGGTCGCGACCGTTGACCTTTGGCGTGTATTAAGTATTGTCGGTCTCGTCCACGAAGGTGACCCCTCGCACAGAGGGGTGTTCGGTCTCGATAAATTCTTTGTTTAAAACCCTAGTCCTGCGGCGAGCAACAATTGTTGTTGTAAACAACATATAAAAATATACAATAAAAAGCCCGGAGGTATAAAATCTCATCAGATTTTACTTGTGTTTATTCCTTCTATAACATATGTTCTGCATGAAAGAACAGACTCCTGAAACAGATTGAATGTTGAAATTGCTAGCTTCCTTTTAATTGAGTTAAAATGAAGACTTTTTGGCAGTTTGAAATGTACAGTGAAATGTTCTGGAAATAGTTTTTAATGCTCATCAGTTGTAACACGTGTTGTGGGAAATTTTTGATGATTTTAGAATGAAATTGAAAGAACAGTGAAGTGTGTCTGTTGAGTTTTTGGACTAAAATAAACCGTTTCTTCTGGTATTGGAAAATCCTCTGAACTGAACCTTCTCTAATGTACAATTTGTAGCAGATATAATTGTTAGTGTTTGTACGTTTCTGTAGCCGAGAGTAACTGTAATTATAATTCTTTGTCCCTGTACAGCTACAACCTAGGCTGTGGCTGTTACTTCAGAATCGGCAAGAACTGGACTCGTAGGGCACGCCGGGACTCACAACAACTATGGAAGTCAGGCTCATCACCGACTATGATGGACAATGAACTGTACCGTTACCGTAGACCCCTTTTAGAGATTGCCTCTAACTTTTTTGGGCAATGTATTGTATATTGAGCTGAAAGAAGTAAGTGCCACATAATGTTGTCAGAATTTTGTATTCCTGTGAAATTTTCTTGCAATGTCGGATGATTGATTGTAACCGTTTCTCATCTTGTTAAGATGATCGCATAATTCGTTGCTTCCGAAGTAACCTGTAGATAACGAGTGTTTGACGAACAACTGCCTGTGTGCAAAGTTAAAGAGGAATCATTTCATGTACAATGTAGTTTGTGTGTTGTTCCGAGACATGACATTGTATAACCGTACACGAGATGGTAAGAAGTAATTCTCTTTAGCCATTAGCCAGACTGTAATGTGTACAGTGAAATTATAACTTTCTGTAACTGTAGGATACTCTAGATTGTTTAATTTGTATGATGTATTGTATTGTATTTTATTGTTGATTGTCAGAATTTTGTATTTCTGTGAAATTTTCTTGCAATGTCGGATGATTGATTGTAACCGTCCGTTTCTCATCTTGTTAAGATGATCGCATAATTCATTGCTTCCGAAGTAACCTGTAAATAACGAGTGTTTGACGAACATACTGCCTGTTTCCAAAGTTGAGGTAGAATCGTGTCATGTACAATGTAATTTGTGTATTGTTCGAGACATGTCATTCTATAACCGTACAGGAGATGGTAAGGAGTAATTGTCCGTAGCCATTCTAGACTGTAATCGTGTAGACTGAAACTTTCTGTAATTGTAACTTTCTGTAACTGTAGGGTACTGTAGATTGTTTAATTTGTATCATGTATTGTATTGTATTGTATTTTGATGTACAGAAAAAAAGACACAAAAAAAAGATAAGAAGATTATAAATGGACTATGCTGGTACAACATGTTTGTAGGAATGGTTGGAAGCCTACAACTTAAAATTTGTATACAATCCTCAGATGTTAAAACTCCAAAATATTTTGTACCGTTTACAATTTCCTTTAAACATAGTTTCGTACCAGCATAGTTCATGTTGTTGTTGGCGTCTTACTCTTTCCCTTTGCTGTATCTTTCTATTCTTCCTTCACTTGATATCTTTTTCTGTGTTCTTTACTTTGTTGCTTTTCTCTTCTTTACTTTGCTTCTCTCTTCTTTGCTTACCTGTTCTTTCTATTTGCTTAATATTTCAATTGCTTTCCCTTCTTTGCTTTGCTGTTTTCTGCTTTTGCTTTCCAGTTTATTTTATTTTCGTTGCCTTTTTGCTTTCCTGTTGTTTGGTTTGATTCTTTCCTTTCCTGTTCTTTACTTGATGTTTGCTTTCCAGTTCCTTGTTTTCCTGTTCTTTTGTTTTGATTCTTACCTGTCTTTTGCTTTTTTACTGGCTTGTTGTTCCTTTTGCTTCTCTGCCTTCCTTTTCTGTAATTTACTTTTAATTCTTTCCTCTCCTTTCCAGTTCCTTGCTTTCCTTTGCTATTCTTTGGTTGCTTGCTTCATTTTGTTTTACTTTCCTGTTCTTTGCTTTCCAGTTTTTTTTGTTCTTTCCTGACATGTCCTTTACCCTTTTATAATTTGCTTTCCTTCCGTCCACTTTTATACTCCGGTTAACTTTTTCTGCTTCCTTCATCTGTACTTTTGTTTCTAAGCCTTTGCTTTTTCTCTTCACCCTTCCTTGCTGATTTTCTTTCATCCTCTTATCTTTACTCCTCCTTTGCCACTCTTCCTTGTAAGTTCTTAACTTCCCCATCAAGTTCTTGTTTCCTTATTGTACGCCTTCCGCTTTTTCCCTAGCCTGTTCCATCTTATCGTTCTCTTCCCCCTTTGTACCGTCTTCCTTTCCTACCTCTCTGTACCTTGATTTCCTCTATACCCTTCCTTCTCTCTACCCTGCCTGCCTTCCTTCTCTCTACCTGCCTCCTTTCTTCTCTCTACCCTGTCTCCCTTCTCTCTACCCTGCCTTCCTTCCTTCCTTTTTTCCTTCCTTCTCTCTACCCTGCCTGCCTTCCTTCTCTCTACCCTGCCTTCCTTCTCTCTACCCTGCCTGCCTTCCTTCCCTCTACCCTGCCTGCCTTCCTTCCTTCCTTCTCTCTACCCTGCCTTCCTTCTCTCTACCCTGCCTTCTCTCTGCCTGCCTTCCTTCCTTCCTTCTGTCTACCCTTCCTTCTCTTTTACCCTGACTCTCTTCATTCTCTTTACTACCCTGACTCTCTTCATTCTCTTTACCTGCCTGTACTCTGACTCTCTTCATTCTCTTTACCTGCCTGTCTTTGCCTGCCTGCCTGTACTCTTCTCCCTTTCTCTTCCCCAACAATAGCTTGTCTTTCTTGATATGTTTGAAATGGCACTGTTGATAAACGTTGTAATTGTATAACTTGACTGCAGCGCTACTTGATTGGAATAAAACAAACGCTACAGGACATGACTCGTGTTGACCAGTTTCCTGAAATACTTTGAACTTTATTGTCGTAACATATACATGTCAATTTGGACAAAAATACATTTTTCTCTTTTACACCAGCAGGCAACCGCCCACGAACCGATTGGACCGCCGCCACATAGTAAAACGCCATCCGGTCGGCTAGACATTAGGACGGGCCGGGTACCAACAAAAAGAAGACAAGGGACGAGAGAAGGAATAGAAAGGGGGAGACGAAGGGGGGAGGGAGAAAGAAAAGGGGACACAGGGGGGAGGGGGGGGAGCGAGAGAAAGAAGGGGGGAGACAGAGGGGTGGGAAGGGGAGAGAGAGAAAGGAGAGAGAAGGG